GAATAGAATAGATAGATAGATAGATAGATAGATAGATAGATAGATAGATAGATAGATATAATAGATAGATATAATAGATAGATATAATAGATAGATAAGATAGATAGATAGATAGATAGATAGATAGATAGATAGATAGATAGATAGATAGATAGATAGATAGATAGATAGATAGATTAATGATACTTACAATAATAAATGATACGTTTATCAATATTTTGAGAGTTCACTAAAGTTACATTTGTATCTTACCAGCCTGAGGTGTCTCTGTAAAACTTTCTCTTCTCTGTTACTATTTTATTTAAAGCTTCATTGTATCCTCCTTCATCCGGTGAGAACGAGCTTCCATTACCAAGTAATGAGAATAACTGTATTGATGCTGAAACTTAAATATGATCCCCGTCATTGTTACAATGTATACTCTCCTTTTGATCTTTATAAACAGAATACCTGATTGCGGGCCGTCTGCGTGATGTATGACGCCATTGTTCTTTGTTTTATGACCTTGTCTTTATCAGAGTCTCAGGATAAGTAATTGTCAGAAAATGAAATTAGCATCCCGGGGAACTCTTGGCTCTTTCTCATCTGGAGTTGATGTGGGTTGTAAATATCACCAGAGAAATGAAGATTTGTTGTTTTTTGTAATTAGTGTATATGAATTGCTCTTCCAGTGTTTCCAAAACCCAAAAATTTTTCTTTAATGTTATTTTTGGATAGAGCGTGGAAGAGTTAGAACCTTTGCCAGGTGATTATTGCTAGTAGATGGATCTGATGCTAGTTTGTGTCCTCCTGTTACCCTAAGGAGAACTATGGTGAAAAGACTTAACCCCATAGTTCTCCTTTAACGTGACACTAAACTAATTCTTGAAATTACAATCATGTTCCTTAACTATGAACAACAATGTATGTTATTTGTGCATCACTCGGCTGTAGATCCTCCAATCATCTCTGAATTGGTGCCGACACTGTCCTTCCTTCTGGAGGGGGGCTACGTCTGTTCCCCATGGTCCTTTTGTGTGTTATAAAGTAGTCACTGCTCCAAGCTCACTCCCAGGATGGACTACAGTCTCATGTTTAGTTTACTCATTTGTATTGAGATTGTAGTCCATCCCGGGAGCGAGCTTGGAGCGGTGACTACTTTACAACACACACAGGGACCATGGAGAACAAAAATGGAGCTCAACCATCCGGACTTTGCATGTGCTACATATCACAACAAAACGTGTATATTAAAATCTTATTTTATTTTTACCAAACTGTCTAAGAAAAAAATTAGACACATTGTTCCTATTGAATCCCCAGGACAGGAAGTGAAGGGAAATCTCTGCAAAGGGACATAGGTGTGTTTTGGCCTTCCCTAGTCTATCCTGGACTAATAAGGAAAAGTCATGGCTCTCACAGGTCTGCCTATAATGAATGGGAGCTCAGTGATTCACATTATACAGTTTGTTGACTCTCATTAGTTTCTGCCTCATTTACTTTTTGCTTTGATTAAGCTTTTGAATTGTTTAAGTTTATCCAGCTGCCCCATTAAACAAGCGATTTGTTAAAAAGGCAATTTAGATTGTTCATCAGCGGTTAACTGTACCGTGATGACCGGTGGTGGCATGAGGACCGATTGTAATAGACCGGATCTATTTATTAACTAACAATGATTCTAATAGCAAGAGCATGAGATTTCTACAACTTCTGTCACAGGTCAGCTTGACTTAGCTTACATATATACTTAGCTTACATATATATCTATATTATATATATATTGATAGATAGATAGACATTTTTAAATAGTCTGGATGAAATTTTACCACGCCAAACAAAATGTATTTTAGGTACATGGAGACATAATATCAGGGTTAATATTGTTAATGGTTGTTTTGGTAAATACAAAATTTTAAAAGATATTTTAAAATAGATTGGTACAGTAGATATATAAATAGACAGACAGACAGATAGACAAATAGACAAATAGATAGATAGAGAGAGCTAGATAGATAGATAGATAGATAGATAGATAGATAGATAGATAGATAGATAGAGATATTATAATGTAAATAAACAAGTGGCACTTTTTTTGTTAAAATGAATTTTATTGTCTTTAAAATAAACATAGAAGTATACAGTAAGTCCGTTAGCATTGCAAAATTGATGCAGAAGAATGAAAATTTGATTTAGCGATAAAATATGCATGAAAAATTTGACTGAACCGTATTCTATGTTTTGGCAAAAGAAAAAAGATTAAAAAAAATAAAAAAATAAAAATTAATAGTAGCAGATTCTGTTAAACATATCCTGAAATACAAAAGTGCTATGACAAGTTTTAAGCAGAGCAGAGCTCCTGGCAACCAGCAAATGTTTATTTACAGAGATAAAAACAAAACAAAAAAATCACATTTACAGCTGTGTGTTTTTGGATTGACACCCACTCCCGTTGTACCATCTTTACATTCAGTATAAGAAGTTATGGACACCGGCACTCCATCTTTACATTCAGGACGTCTTTAGATTTAGTGCAACGTTAGCCAATTTTGTTTTTAATTTGTTTTTAAAAATAAAGCAGCATGAAGTACAGTCGGTTGCTCGGCGAGTCAAAGCCGAGAATCCTTTATGTCTTTTATTCTCGGAATTTCAGAGCCATGGATTTGAATAACATGTTAATATGAAGATGAAGTTTTGTTTTGTTTTTTTTTAATCTTGGGGAGGAAGTAGAAAATTACTGTTTTTCTTTTCATACCACGCTAGAGGAGAAAAAAAAAAAAGAAAAGGAAAGAGATTATGAATTGATCTTGTAAAACATCTATTACAGATCTGTAGAACATTTAAATAAGCAGACATTTCAATGTTAATGTTTAACAGCGCTGAATATTAATGTGTAATCAATATACCGTATAACAGCAATTTATTTAAGTGAAGACGGATAAAGTTAAAGGTTATCTAAAGACAAAACATTTTTTTTTGTATTCGATGGAGTATGGAATGGTTAAAGCTGAACTCCAGGCAGATATAAAAGTCACAAGTTAATGCAGCTCTGCAATCATTAATTTATTGTAGCCCCCATCGCCTTCTGTGATGTAATCACAAGGACAGAAAGTGGGGTTTTAAAAGCACCAAAGGACTACTCCACAAGAAAAAAAATTTCATATAAAATTCATTTTTAATTATATTAATTTAAAAAGAGCTGGATACATAATCCAATTAAACGTCAACTAAATAAATAGCTCCCTGTATGCTCTCTCCATGTGTGCCTTTCCTACAGCATGATTTTAACATAACAAAATAAATATAGAATGCATGATAATTTTAGAACATGATAACATTGCAAAAAGTCAAGGATGAGCAACAGAATATCAATTCATTAAAGGCTATGATGCTGTAAGGAGTTGAGAAGTTTACACTGGAGGAGCTGGTACGACGTTTCGCGCACACAGGCGCTTCATCACCTTCTGTGATGCGGGTACTAGACATTTAGTGATAGCCGGGGCTGTAGTCAGCCTGGCGGGAATTATAGTGGCAGTTATCTGGTTAATTCCAGGTGTCTGGCATTGCCTGTAACCCCCCTCCCCCGGGCAGAGTGTGACGCTTTCATATTGTGTGACAGCCAATGAGAGGCACTGTAATGTATGTACAGTACAACAGCCAATCACTGGGTTTCTTTCTCAGTCAGTGGTGCAAGGCTGTATAGGGTACATATACTGGAGGGATTTGCCATGTGCTCAGACTAGCCGGGACCAGCGATGGAATAAGGCTGGGTGCTGTTCAGCCTGCCCCCCAGGCTAGCCCTGAGGCCTGGGGGTGGGCATGGGTTGGTGTGAGGGGAAAAGGTTTCCCCGAGACTTCCAACATGGAGGAAGTCTGTGTTGTGGTTAGAGGAAGAGAACCGGGACCAATGCTGGCTCTTGAAGTACCCTGGAACTAAGAGGACTTCAGGAGTGTGGTTGGTGTCTTTCCTGATGTGGATCTGTGTTCATCCTCGCTCACCCGCTACTTCAGTCACCATCTGCTGTCTCATCAGTGGATCTACAATGATATGCCAACCAGGTCTGGTGAGTCTGGAGCTCTTGTCAGTTACCTCTGGAAGCTTAGAATCCCTATATCTTCTCTCCCCACTGAAGATGTTCAATAAAACGTTATTCAGCATTATACTATTGGAGTGGACATCAGTTTGTGGGCACTAGAAGAAGGACTGTTAATGCTAATTGGTGGGCAGCTGAAGAACATACCCTAGACCAGGGGTGCCCATTAGGTAGATTGTGATCTAGCAGTAGCTCTGAAAGCTGATGCTGGTAGATCAGGAAGGGTGTGAATGGTGGCCCCTTTATTCTATTATTGGTATATTTACTTAGCTGTGCACACATGATTACCTATCAGCTTGAGTGTGCTGAGCCGAGCTCCCCGACACCTCTCTGGTGGATACTGGGGGTTGAAGTGCTATGTATTACACCAAAGAATATTAGTTTACACAGCCTTTTGCAAAATACAGCAAGGTGAGCCAGGAGAGAGAGAGACAGCCAAGAGAGACAGCCAGGAGAAAAAACGAGGAGAGACAGCCAGGAGAGCGAGGAGAGACAGCCAGGAGAGAGAGGAGAGCCAGCCAGGAGGATGAGCAAGGAGAGACAGCCAGGAGAGCGAGGAGAGACAGCCAGGAGAGAGAGTAGAGACAGCCAGGAGGATGAGCAAGGGGAGACAGCCAAGGAGAGCGAGGAGAGACAGCCAGGAGAGAGCGAGTGAGTTTTTTTTCCGTTGGTAGATCTCATGTAGCTCATCATTTGAAAAGTAGATCTTAACACAAAAATTGTGGGCACCCCTGTCCTAGACAGACTAGAGATGGACCTGGCATTTAGCGGCTCCTTCAGGGGTGAGCGCTACATTATCATAACATGTATTTTTTAAATTGAAGCAGTGTAAGAATTTGAATTTGACCTGGTATCAGCCTCTTGCAAACAGCTAGCTTAGTTCCTCATGTCTACATAAAGAGCTTGGTAAAGGAGGTTTCAGTGGCCATCTTACCATGTGGAGAGGTGTTTTGCGGCCCAGGAATGGATTGTGTAAGCAATGTCTCTGGATGGCTCGCCGTTCTTTAATGGAAGATCATCGCTGGCATCTCTGTTGAAGTTCCCGCAAGATCCACACACTTGTCCAGCTATTCGTTCCTTGGCAATCAACTGGATTTCATCGTTTCCTTTAAAGATCACAGTTATCTTATTGCGAAGCTCAATGGTTATGTCGGGTTTGGAGACATTAACCTTCACTGCACCATCTCCAAGCTCAGTCGTGTCTTTCAGCTCCCATCCGTTTAACTGCAAAAGCATAACACAGAATGTCTATGAAGGTTCTCCTTTATCCCGGTCATAATATAGCTGGTAGTGGTTATGGTAGTGATTAGGGATTACTTGTACTCGCCCCAAATGCTCCAATACCTTCCCCAATACAGGAACTTCCGGTCAGAGGAAGGTTTCCTCTGACCGGCAGTGCCGTAGGGGAACATGGAGCTAGCTTCCCATGCGATCAGAAAGCTGGGCGGCGAGTAATGATCCGCCTCCCGGATTTCCAATTGGCCGAACAGCCGGCCCCATGCTGCTTGGGCGGGAAGCCGGCTTTCCAGCCAGTAAGCATGGAGCTGGCTTCCTGGTCAATTAGGAAGCCGGGAGGCGGGTCATTGGCCGGGAAGCTGGCTCAATGCTGATTGGCTGGGAAGCCGGTTTCCCGGCCAATCACAATCAAGCCGGCCAAACAACATGAAGCCGGGCAGCAGGTCATTACCCACCGCCTGGCTTCCTGATTGCCCGGGAAGCTTGCTCCATGCCAGCAGAAGCACTGGTAGCGTTACTCGGTATCAGCGAGTACAGAAAGCAAAGCATGGGTACTCGTACTTGATACCGAAAAACCGGTATCGGTGCATTCCTAGTGGTAATGGTTGGCCACATTCAGCTGGACCTGTTTTGTAATGTTGAAGATATTTGGTAGCTTCTCAGAGCCACTTCTTCACTTTGAATGCGACTGACTACTACTAACCACACCAGATAATGTCAAGTTCTTATAATAAAAAATACACCAACAGTACTAGTAGAAGTAAGTGATGTCCACATTCATAACATCAACCCCGGAGACCAGTTGAGGTCTATCATGGGGGATAAAAGTAGATTTTTGCTATTGCTGAACATGAAAAGCTCTTTAAATGGAACTCTACGTAAAAATAAATAAATAAATGACAAATTAAAGATAACATGGGGAAAGTAGTGATTGGGTTTACATACTGTATACATAAACTCTCTTGAATATCTTACCCAGACCTCCTGTTCTCCGTTGACTGAGATCAAACCATGAGAAGTAAGCACTTGAAGCGATGAACTCTTTCCATCCTTTCCACCACATTTGGGGATATCAACGACAATCATAAACTGGCTGTCTTGGCTCCTGTTGCAAGACGACGACAGTACATAGGACCCATGCAGAGGGAACTTCCCTGAGACCCCGTCGAACGTAATAAAATGGTGGTCACCGCTTAGCGTGCACTTGGACTCCCTTGGACGACATCCACGAACTTCGTCTCTCAGCTGGCACAGCTCATTGGCTGCACAAGTTGCATTGACGCAGGACACAATGCCCGAGTGACAGGTACAGCGGCGAGAGCACTCCTCGTTGACCACTGATTCCTTGGCCTGCGTTCCAAAAACAATGTCAGCTGATGATTAGGGTCACTTTCTATATATAGATTATGGTAGGCACAAAATGAAACAATATATTGCAAAAAAAAAAAACAATGGCCAACTGAAGGAGCTTACACAGCCAACTGACAACTCTGCTGTTAATTGCAAGACGCTGACCTAGGGGTTGTCAGTCTGCCACAGGAAGTGCTGTTACTCACAAAATCTTCACGTAAGAAACTTTGCACCAGATTCCCAAAAAATAGATGTAGGGTTTACATACACTTTTAGAGCTATATAATACGCTATAGTAGCAATAATAGTAATAATAGCATCATTGTATTACTGCAATACTGATGGCAATGCATATACAAAAAGTTCTCTTTAATGCTTTCTGTAATATGTTGGCCCTACATAAGAAAATAATATTTACTGAACTCTAGGGATTCACTGATACCGTTTTGTAGGTATCGAGCACAAGTACCGATATTTTCCACATACCAAGTACTGGTGCCGTGTGCCCCGATTATCAGGAAGTTGGGCGGCGGATCATGACCCCCTCACCTGGCTTCCTGATTGCCTGTGAAGCCGGTGCTCTAGCGCAAGAACGCCGACTTCACTTGCCGAGTCTGTCTGGCTTCCTGACCAATCAGGAAGCGGGGCGGCACGTCATGACCCGCTTACCAGCTTTCTGATTGGCTAGGAAGCTGGCTCCACTTGTTGCTAGGCAACGTGGCTTCTAGACCAATCAGGAAGCAGGGAGCTAAGTCATGACGTGCCACCCAGCTTCCTGATTGGTTAGGAAGGCAGGCTGCCTACCAACAAGTGAAGCTGTCTCCCTAGCCAATAAGGAAGCCAGACGACACATCATGACCCGCCTTCTAGATTCCTGATTGATTGGGAAGCCGGCTTCACTTGTTCCTAGGCAGCCTGGTTTCCTGACCGATCAGAGAGCTGGAAGGTGGGTCATTATGTGGCGCCTGGCTTCCTGATTGGTTAGGAAGCCAGGCTGCCTAGCAACAACTGCAGCCGGCTACCTAGCCAATCAGGAAGAAGGGAGGCGGGAGGAAACCTACCGCCTGGTTTCCTCATCGGAAGGGAAGGCGGGTTCATGCTCCCTCGGCACTGCCAGTCGGAGGGAGATCTCTGGTATCGGGGGTAAGTATCAGAGCATTTGGGCGAGTATGAGTACTCGGCCAAATACTTGGTATCGGCACCGATCGGTACATGCCTACTGAACTCATTTAGTCACTTTAGTAGTTATACTTGGGTAGACAACACTATAAAATGATCAGATCCTACTCTGACTTACCTTGAGGTATCTTCCGTTGTGAGTGCAACCGCATTTGTCCATTGTTACACATTTTTCGCCATCAAACATGTAGCCGGTGTCACACTGGCATCCTTCAAAGCATTGCTCGCTACAGGTGCTGGCCGCCAGGAGTCCATGGCAAGTGAAGTCACACGTCCGGGTGCAGGGCTCATAGTGACTGTTCTTCTGGCATGCAAGTGCTGTAAAATACAATGGAACATTGATATCTTCCACCACAAACTTTCACACCTGAACCCCAAACAAACCGTTAGCTTAAATTGGTGTGTTAAAACAAAAGGTGCGCAAAGCCTTGTGTTTTCTTTTCATGAGAGAGTAGAAAAGCCAGTCCACTGCTGGCAGGCTGCAGAGAAGGGCCTTTGATCTCTGTGTGGGAGCAGTGGTCTTTCTAAAGATGTCTGACATGCTCCCTGCTGAGCCAGAGCAGATGCTCTCCAATCAGCGGGGAGCCCTAGCTCTGACTCAGCAGGGGAGTGTGTCAGATCCCTGCAGAGAGACCACTGCTTCCATTCAGAGAGCAAGGGTCTTTATTTGCAGGATCCAGGCTGTAGCTTCTAAAGAAGACCAACTGTAAGACTTTGCATACCCAGGGGCGTCCCGAGGCCGGGTGTCACCCGGAGCGGAGACCAAGTGACACCCTGCAGTGACGTCATTGCGCATGTGCGTGACATCACCATGCACGTCATCACGCACGTGGGGTCCTCTAATTGACGCCTGCCGGCAGCCATCTTAGTGATGGACACCGGCAGAGAGAGGAGGGGACGTTCACCTGGCGGGATGAGGTATGCCGCCGGGTCCCCCCCCTGACACAGTCGGCTCTTGGTCCATGACCGAGTGCCCGACTTTTTAGAGGGGGTGGCACCAAAATGACTGTCAGTCATTTTGGTCTCACCCCTCCAATGGTGTCACCCGGGTGCGGGCCGCACCCCCCCGCACCCCCCTTGTGAAGCCACTGTGCATACCTTTTGTTTTATTGCACCTCTAATGCATTCAGCTGATTTAAACTGATGGCTCAATTAGGCTTTATACATTAATACATACGGTATAATATATGAATATTAATGGGTAACAACCACAATCTATTCCATGAAGCAACAAAATGCTCAGTTACTGATGTTCTTGTTCACCAATCAACAACAAACGTATAATATATTTATGATAAGTATTGATATAATCATTGAACACTTAATAACTGACTTACGGCACTTAGTGCTGTTCCTCCACGCTCCAACTCTGGCTCCTTGTTTTTGGCATAATGCTGCGTAGGCTTGCAGACTGGCACATAAAGCCTCTTGACCTCGACGTCCAGAACAGACATCAACCAAACAGCTTCGGTAATATACTTCAGGTTTGACCAGTGGATGGCATTCCTTGAATGGACCCTGAGAATCTATAATCATTCCACACTTGGTAGTCGAATTAGCCGCAGCGAAGCTAACGTTATCACACGTTGGACACTGATCTCCAGAACATCCTCGGCAGTCCGACCCGTGGCGAGCTACAATCCAAGACTCACCAAAAGCCATTTTATCAGTGGCAATGGATCCATTTGGAAGACGGAAATCATCATTGGGGTTCTTGTTGTAATTTCCGCAGAGACCTTCAGAGAGGCCGGAGTATGAACTTGGAATCCAGACTGAAACAAATGACCAATGGTCATACATAACCACGAAGCCAAATTTGGAATAAATGAATACATTATTTCCTTCTTTGTTGATCCAGATGTCATGGTTCGGAGAACGCCACGGAAGAATGTATTTCTCTCTGTTGATCTGAAATATATGTATTATAATATACGTTGAAAATCTAATTATGACATTTTCACTTTGCGAGTATCCACAAACCATCCCCTACCAAAAAATGTCATAATTTTACTCACAGAACAGCAAAAACATTCAACAAAATATCAACATTTACAAAAAAATTGTAAACTTTTATGGACTAGTATGGATGAAAGGCGAAATGTTACCAAAATTTCCCCTCCTATTGACACCAATGCATTTCGTCAAAGTTTTATTTTAACTGCAATCCATGATTTTATCTTAAGGGATAACTCTAAATTATTATTATTACATTATATTATTATTCTGGATTTATAGAGCACCATCAGTATGTGCAGCACATTACAATATAAGGAAGACATTACAGTTACAATACAAATCAAGACAAGATGGTAAGGAGGGCCCTGCCAGTGAAAACTTACAATCTAAAAGGGAGGGGCCAGTGATACAAGCGGTGGTAGCTGTGCGGGGATGATTTGTTTGAGAATGTGATAGTCCAATGGTTAGGTTGAGGTGAGATAGGCTGCCCTTAAGAGTTGAGTCTTCAGGGAACGTCTAAAGGCAGACAGAGTATAAGATAGATGCGTTCTAAAGGATGGGAGAGACTCTAGAGAAGTCCTAAAGGCGAGCATGGGAGGAGTTGACAAGGGGAGCTAGAGAGCAGGAGGTCTTGTGAAGAGCAGAGGGGACGGTTAGGGTTATACTTTAAGACAAGGTTAGAGATGTAGCCGGGGGCGGAGTTGTGGATGGCTTTGTAAGTGATTGATAATAATGTTGGATTTTATCCTTTGGGTGATTGGAAGCCAGTGGAGGGACTGGCAGCATCAAATCATTTAGACAAGTGGTAAAGGTACCCAGTAAAATACCTCTAAGGTTAGTTAGAGTTCACCTGACCTAAAGGCTCAACTCACAACTTTTTAAAATTTGAAGTTGGACTTAACTGACTTTTTTGATAAATAAAAATGTAAAATTAAAGGAGAACTATGGGGGTCAGGGCTTTTCCCCATAGTTCTCCTAAGGGTCACGGGAGAACACAAACTAGCGTTCTCCCGAGACGTAGGGAGATGATCGAATAGTGAGCGAGCGACGCTATGTGTTCGCTCACTTCCCGATCTACTGAGCCGACCTCTGACAGTTTCATTGTCACAGGTCGGCTCAGATTATGAGGCTGAGGGAAAATCACTCGCCTCATAATTCTCCTTTAAAAATAAGAATAAGTTCAGATGAATATTAGTCCTTCATTAAGCTATTAAAATTGTTTTATATTCACTAAAGAAACCATTTATTAAAATATTAACATAACTAAAAAAAAAATGGTCACATGACGCACCAAAACAGTCCAGACTGTGTCTCTTCCCAGGTGTATAACATAATTTCCAACTGTAACAATCACAGATTTAGTGACTGCCATTTTGCCGAATGGTTCGTTATCTACCGTGACATCAAAATAGACCCGACCTTTCTTCACTCTGATAAGCCTGTAGGAGCAGGTACCTTGGAAATCATAGTACAGGCCATCGGGGGTGATGTAGTGAGGGTCGCCCCAGGCTATGCATTGGGCTACCTCTTTGGGATGGCAACCCAAGACTCCATAGGCCACTTTGCATTCTTCATCCAGTCCGCATGATGTGTTTTTGCAGTTGACCGTACCTTGCATGTCACATGTACATTTCCTCTGGCAGAGTTTGTCGGGGTAGAACTCCTGCCCCTCCTTGTAGTAGGTTTTTTCAAAGACGCAGCCGCATTCTGAAACAGCCACGCAATCTTTTCCACTCAGGATGAAACCGTTATCGCAGTAGCAGCCTTCGGTGTGGGATTGCTTACAGGCTGGTGGAGCTATGAGGCCAAAACAAGTAGCAGGGCATCCGTCACCCAGGAGCTCATAATGACTATTTGAGGGGCAATTCATTTCTGCAAGTTAGATGTGAAACATTTTACAATTAAGTATTTGTAAAGGTGATACATATAAAGACATGTGTGAAGTGCATTTCACATCGATAGCCTAACACTGCTATCCATTAGCCCTGTGGAGTTATGGTTTAATGCCCTGCTATCCATTATCACTGTGGAGTTATGGTTACTGCCCTGCTATCCATTAGCCCTGTGGAGTTATGGTTACTGCCCTGCTATCTATTAGCCCTGTGGAGTTATGGTTACTGCCCTGCTATCCATTAGCCCTGTGGAGTTATGGTTTAATGCCCTGCTATCCATTAACTTTTTCAAAGTTTGAAGAAAAATAATTTTTTTTTTTAATGTTTTAATGTGGTCATGTGACCAATGAGCCTCTGTTTTGTATCTCTTCCTGCAGGGCCAGCAGAAGGCACACGTCACTTGGAGGAGGCAAACAGGAGACATGAAGTGCTAATAGGACAATACCAGCCAGCTGATCTACACGGTGGCACTGTGTAAGGGTGGTGAAAATGAAAACAGAGCAGTGCTTTTGTGGAGTTATCAGCACTCTAAAAGAAGAGCAAAAGGAAAAATCGGGATGATATACAGTGTACACTGAGTGGCCCGATTATTATGACCACCCCATCAGTGCTTCGTTGGGCCACGAGATGACTCCACGAGATGACTTTGTTGGGCCGCCTTGTGGCTCCACGAGATGATGAAAGGTGCTGGAATCTGACACGGCACTGTTGCCCTTCTGTTGTCTTGTACCAGTCTTGCCACTCTCCGTTCTGCCCTAACATTGACTAGTCGCTGATGGCAACAATTCGCACGTTCAGACCCAGATTTTTGGCTGACAGTCCAGTCTTTAAACACTTTAACAACAGCTGCTCTTGAACATTTAACGAATTCTGCTGTTTTGCGGATACTCGCTCCATGGCTCCGAGCGCCAACAATCATCCCACGTTCAAAGGCTGTTACATCGCGTTGTTTCCCCGTATCTTCAGAAACAAATCACTTCTACTGTCGTGGTAAACAACCTACTTTCCTATTTATAATGGTCTGGCCCTCTAGCAACTGCAGCACAAAATTATAGCTGGGGTGTCTGAGAAATTCAGAAGGGTTTTAAAAAAACATTGCATCCCTGTCTGCTTTGAACCCAGCAATACACTGAGGCAACAACTGCTTCACCCAAAAGACCCAACGCCAAAACACAAGGTGAACAACATTGTGTATGCCGTCCAGTGCAGTGAGGAATGCTCAGCATTGTATGTCGGTGAAACAAAACAGCAGCTAAACCAGCGTATTGGCACAGCATAGAAGAGCCAAATCCTCTGGTCAGGATTCGGCAGTGTACCTACATCTAAAGTAAAAAGGTCACTCCTTTGAAGACAGTCAAGTACGCATCCTAGACAGGGAGGAGGACTGGTTCAAAAGAGGTGTGAAAGACGCCATTTATGTAAAAATCGGGAAGCCAAGCTCGAATAGAGGTAGGGGGGGGGGGGGGGAGAGACATCTATTGTCTGCCACATACAATGCTGTTTTAACACCTCTTTCTGGGCCGGTTAGTAACTCCTCCTAGACTCCAATTGTGCAAATGCAATTAACACCTGGTTGTGACTAACATATTATGTGGATTGGAGCAACATTCACCTTATATATTCCCAGATAATTTTTTGTAAAAGTAATTCTGAATTAAGAAAGCTGGTTGGATGTCCAGTGAAACGTCTTCAAGAAAAAATACAAGTCCAGTTGCCCTGACTTAATTTTTACAGATATTACAGAAAAAAAGTTATGTTGAATGTGACTAACTACTGCTAGATTTACCATGCCCTGCATAAATGAGAACCTTCACAGACATACTCCACAGCATTGCTATGAAGGTATAGGAACCAAACAAATAATAAAAATATGATCTCTAGAGCTTCACTCCTTTACAGTGTGAAGAATTTACATTCTCAAAATTGCATATCCTCCAAATGTGTCTCGTCTTTCAAAATTATCAGTGAAACGTCTTCAAGAAAAAATACAGCAAGTCCAGTTGCCTTGACTTAGTTTTTACAGATATACCATGACCTGGATGAATGAGAACATTCACAGACTTTTTTTCTGTAATTTTGAAGATGTTTCTTCTCTCCAAATGAATGCTGAAATGAGAAGCTACGTGGATGACTAGCAAAGCTAAAGAAGTTTATTAGGAGAGTGGCAAAACTTCTTCAACATTAACAAGAACAGTGGAATGTTAATACCTACTACTAGCTACAAATATGGACAACATCACATGTAAAATTGTTAATGGATTGTTCAACTTCAGTGGTATTTCCCTTGAAGTAAAAGTATTGACTGAGAGCAAACAACAACAGCCAGGTCACTTTTCAACAGTAAGAGTTGAAATAAAGTTTCAGAGTATTAAAAAGCTGGAGAACTGAAATAAGAAGAAACAAAAAAAAGAAACCTACCACAAAATGATGGCTTTCTCCAAGGTTGGATAACAGATCCATTGCTTTGGCAGTCTGAAATATAAGCTGCTATGCTGGCACAGACAACAGACAGGTGGCCTTTGTATGCACATGCATCAAACACACAGTTGTCAAAATAAGGAGTTGGGTCAATGGCATGATAACACTGGCTGAAGGGTCCTTTGGGTTTCTTGAGAAGTCCGCAGTAATTTTCCCTTTCGTAGATTTTTTTTTCTTTCTCAGTACATTTCGGACAGTCGGAACAAGTGCTCGTACATCCTGCTACTTCTTTCACTTTCCAGCGGTTTCCAAATTCATCTGCAGTTCTGGCGGCTGCACCATCTCCAAAGGTGAAATCATCTGAGGGGTCTCCGTTATTGTTACCACACAGTCCACTAACCGCCCCTCTGTAGGTACTCGGGAGCTTCACACTGACGGCGTTCAATCCGTCAAAAGTCACTGTGATATCGAAGCCAGTTCTGATGATAATATTGTTTCCTGAGATATATGACATTATCTTTGTTGAGTCTGAATAGTAGGGTAAGTCGACAAGGTTTCCATCAACCTAGTAAAAAGGAATTTTTCATTGTGACATGCCATATGGTAAACATTAAATGGTTTTGATAAGTTGAATGTACATACTTCACTACCCTTCTACATAACAGTATTATGTATACTACAAAATCAGTGGATCACTTCAATTAAATTGTACTAATACTTTATTAAGATCAATCCGTTAGGGTCCATGGGCTTTTGTTCACATCAGATTCACTTCTCTCCCTATACAAGTCTATGGGAATGCACAAAACAGGTTGAAGCAGGTCAAATGCACCTGTCAGTGAATTCTGAATGATGGCAGAAGCATTCGGAATGGATGTCCTAAGCATGTGGGCAATGGATGGATGGAGCATGGAAGGGAGAAAACCCCGGCCAGGTTATTTTTTGCTATCTGTATCATTGGGAACATTTCCCATCACTTCCTGTGCCAGAGACACAACAGGACATTAGAGGAAATCCCAAAAAAGGAGGGTAATTCCCCTCTTAGACAGTTGTCCCAGTGTTCTGTCGAATATTTAAATGAAGTAGGATCACACTAATCCAGCACGTTATTAATCTGAGTTGCCCCGGTCAATATGGCTGCCGCTTGTGGCACACCTGCAGTAGAGTCTTCTCGCCCAAACCCCTTAGTTCTAACTAAACCGGAAGTCAGGCAGTTGGAGATCTCGAGGAGTTGGAGCTTTCGACAGAACACCGGAACCAAATATACCCATTAGAATATTTTACCTCACCATCAGTATAATGGTAGCTGTTGAGTTTAAATTTTGTTTTGTCCAAGGTGGACAGGAACAGAGTCAGGAGTTATGGAAGGGAGAGTTCAACGCTTCTTATTTCCATTTTGGAACTTGCCATGTAATGTAAGGAGATATTTAAACTAAAACTCTTACAAATTCAGTCTGACTTTTATGTACAACAATTTCTTTTTCATCTGTAAATTGTAATACACTGATTGTATCATTGTGACTTCCCCCAACCAATGAAACCTTTTTACCCCCAAATCTTCAGAAAAAAGGAATTGTTTACCTTGATCTGTCGTGGGTAGTCTTTACTCATGGTTATGGTCTTATTGTGGACTTCGGCGATCACATCTTTGGTGAAGGACACAGCGTTGTTCCCTCGGTGGTCATTCAGAACGTTGATTGTAAAGCGACTCAGGGACGAGTCATTTGACGTCATTTTCACCAGCTGGTAGACACAGTTGCCCATGAATGGAAATCTCTTGCCATCAAATGTGCGGTAATGGGGATCCCCATTGGATGCACAAGTTGAATATGCAGTTGGGTAGCAGCCTCGTATTCCGTTGGACAGCATACAGGTCTCAGTCTCTTTGCAACTAGTTGACTGACAGTCTACAGTTCCCAAAATGGGGTCACATTTGCAGAGGACGGCACATTCCTCATCATACCATGACTGGTTAGGTTCATAGTACTGATCGTTATACTGACAGCCACAGCTGGTAATGGGAACGCACTTATCTCCGCTGAGGACCATACCAGCATTGCACTCGCAGGTTTCTATGCATGGTCTTGTGCACTTGGCTGGGGCATTTCTGTCGGCACAGCTGGTAGGACAAGCAGATGCACAAGCATTGTAATGACTGTTTTTGTCTTCACATACCTTAGCTGGAAAAGGATCCAAAATATCATATTAATATTATAAAATCCTAAAAGCCTTGTAAATCAAAATTCTAACATTGAATTGTTATATCTAAAGCCAATACATTAGTTTTGAATAAAGTGGGGGAGGGTAAATCCACTTTCAGTTTATCTATTGTTTGGGGGACATTTTCTCTAACCTGTCTTACGATACGACAGGAAGTGGAAAAAATTAAAAATCTCTTGATTGCCACTGACTGAAAAAAACACAAAATCTTTTTCCTCACTTCCAGTCACATTGAAAATAGGCTTGATGGTGCACTAAAGGCCTTGTGTAAAAAGTCTGGTGAGAATGCCAGACCAAGGATCTAAGAGTCCAAAAATGGAACATGGAACAACCAATGCTATTCAAGGGCTCGGGCCCTCCCCATTCATCAGGGCTTGTAAATGCTGAGCAGTATTGGCAGTATTAGTAGGTGAATGTCTGGTATGCAACCTACTAATACCACCATATATGAGTATGAAAAGCAACTTATTGATTACAGCAGTTATATGTCCTGATGAAGGGGGAGTCCCTGAGCCCCCCAAAACATGTTGGCTGTTCTATGTTATCTTGCTATGAGCAAACACTAATATTAAAGGATTTTTGACTCTTAGATATTTGGTCTGTCACTTGCATTAAACGTTTTATACATGGACTTTGGGCTCACTAGATAAGGGGCGCCCTATTAGAGAGCAGCCTCACCAGAGCTACTGCCCTCCGTACAAACTCAGTTGATTTTCTTCAACCATTAACAACTGATCGGTCAAATCCAGCACATTCAATATTCATTGATCCACTGGCTCAAGTTCCTAATCCTCGTCCACTTCCAGGACCTACAATCAGCAATTGTGCTTCTCTAGTACTATGTCTAGAACATGCCTTTTGAGATTTTTTGTTCCACATAAAGCCTACTGAAAAAAGCATAGAGCAGTGGTGCAGCCCGTTCTTTCAAGTACTGATATGTTATTTCGGGGGGTCGAGATGTACCCTGGGCCTGGGCACTGACAGCAGGTTCACCTGTGACCACACATTGTGATCCTGAAAATGGAGCCACTACTTTTTTTTTTCAAATACATTTTGTTGTGCAGAATTTTGAAACCACGCCTAGCAAAGGAAACTTTTTATTAAAATTTTGCCTCCTCAAATATACAGTAGCACCTTGGTTCACGAACGCCTCTGTTCACGAACAATTCGGTTCACGAACAGGAAGTTCGTCAAAATTTTGCTTCTGTTTGCAAACTCCGCATTGGGTGACAAACACAACCGCAGCCATCTTCCCTGCTCAGACACATGGTCATGGCTTCCTCTAGTCGAGATCGCGGCCCGATCACAGTTTGATTCGATTTGCAACCAATTCGGTTTGTGACCCGAATCCTGGAACAAATCAAGTTCGTGAACCTGAGGTACCACTGTATTAGGTTTACCAATGAAGGTTATCGCTTACATTTTTACTTTCTTATTGCTTTCAGATAACAGGCAAAAAAATAGATAGTACAAGAACTTACGGCAGCCAGAGGGTGTCCTCCAATCATAAATCTGAAGTCCTTGGCTTAAACAGGTGGTTGAGAAGGCCTCTAGAGCTTGACATAGAATGCTCTGCGCTCCATCATTCATACAGACGTCAAACAGGCAGGCATTAAAGAAATTCTTGGGGTTGACTTTTTTAGGGCACTCTCTGAAAGGACCATCCTCCTTGAACAGCATTCCGCAGGCATTCTGGCCGCCATACTGGCGCTTTTTGTCCTCGTCACAGACCGGACATTCGCCCGGACAGTAATCAAAACAGAATGGATCTAGGTCATAAACCTTCCACTCTGAAGCCCAGTCTATAACTGAGCTGATTATTGTTCCATTGGGTGCTTTTTGATCATCTTTTGGATCCTGATTGAAGTTTCCGCACATACCAGATGTGGAGTCATAATAGCTACTGGGAATAGATACTGTGCAGTGCCAGTTCCAATCATATGTGGCAACCAGTCCAAATGAAGTTTCCACAACAGCCGTAAGACCACTGCGACTGGCATTTAACTTCCCACCGAGGAGACTAACTGGAAGATTTGTCATTACACCATTGACCTGCATTAAGAAGAAGACAAAGTAAGTCATCACTGCAATATATGCTTGTCATAAAGAAGTTTGTGTCGCCCCAATGGGGCACAGAAGTTTTATATAGATAAGAATTTATATAGTTTGTTTCCTTGAATCATTTTCCTATAGCTGTTTTATGGTTAGCTATATGCTGCCATCCAGTGACCTTTTGTGGTAATGCACTTGTTTTTCTATGTTCCCTTTCCCTGATATCTACGACACATTTCCTGTGTGTAATGCTCCACCCTTCTTCTTGAGTATAGTACTTCCTGTGTCATGGCCACAGCTAACAGGCCACATATAACAGGGACACATGTATTCTGCACAGTACGCTACGAAAGTGTCATCTTTTGACCACATAATACCGCAACCATCACCTGCTGTTATCCTGTTGTCTGATGTACAGAATAAAGCAACCCTTGTGGATGAAAAGGTATTGGTGAGTTCAGCTATCTGACAATGATTGTCCTCAGTGATTGAATCTGCTAATACAGGCCAGGCATAGAGGTCTCAGCAAGGGATAAGTCACTAGCACAACAATCGGAGTCAGAATAAAGTCGCAGTATGTTAACAGTACAAAATATCAATGTATGCCAAAGTTTTATTCAGATCTGATATATAATTCCTGTGTAATATATTCGGGGATTAAAAGAGGAAGATTTTGTAAATCTATGAAGCCAGAATAAAATTCCTCAAATAGCATTAGCAAGTTTAGTTTAGTAAACCTTAGAAAAACGTCTATCAAACATTTCCTACATAACTGCTCTGGCTGCTCTGGTCACAAAGCAAGTCATCCCCTCCCTTATAAATCAGTTACAGGAAAAAAAACATCTAATTTACATACTTGAATCTTCGGGAAATCACCAAATTGGATCACAATCTCATAATTAAAGACTTTCACTCTCATCAACTTGACAAAGGAAGCGGCTTGGGTTCCTCGGTTGTTATTTTTGATGGTTATCTCGTATGGCTCCAGGGAGTTACTGGAGCTGTTGGATCCAACATACTGAGAAAGAATATAGGTACAGGTGCCCTGGAAGTCCATTTCCCTGCCGTCAAAACTACGGAAGTGGGGGTCGCCCCAGGCCCAGCACGAGCCTGTGTAATCCGGAACGCAAACCGCTTTGTTGTCTTGAACTTGGCAGGTCTCTTTTTGACGGCAGGTTGTGAATTTGCATGGATCTGTGAAACCAACAAAGCAGAGCGTTTTATCATACTGAAATTGCCTTAGCTTAATAGGACAAAAGAGGCAAAGGGCAAGTGAAACTAATAAGTGAATGAATAATGCATTTTTGGGAAAGAGTCCAGCTGCAATAAAACAAGAAAGACAACTCATAAAGGGGAAATGATCAAAACCGAAGCAGACAAAATCTGGAGCAGCTGCGCATGGCAACCAATCAGCTTCTCTCTTTCATTTTCAAATCTTAACTGAGTAAACTGAAGAGAGAAGCTGATTGGTTGCCATGCGCAGCTGCTCCAGTTTTTTTGTCTGCTGCAGTTTTGATAAATTCCCCCCCATACTATTGGGGATTTAAAACAATTGCAGACAGCAGCTTCACTTAGAACTCTTGGTGGGACTTTTCCATTCCCTAAGCATAGAAACACAGCATCGGCCGTGTGATAAGCAGCACTGCTTCATTCTCCGAAACAGGCCGACTCAACATAACTGTTACAGATCCAAAAACAAAAACTTAGGAGCGCAACTACCAAAAGTGGTGTAAGTGGATTTGATTTGGCGAAGGGCCCGGTGGATCTATGTGATAAGGGGCGCTGATAGATCTTTTGGTGTGGAATCTGGGTGTCTGTGGCAATGTTACAGAAAGCAAAAAGGACTTACAGTTAGGAGCTCTCCCGTTCTCTGTGCGGCCCTCTCCTTGGACAGATCCTGGCTCGAAGAGATGTCCCCGGTGGTGTGAGAGGCTTGTCCAGTCTGGGTGTGCATCCGTATGGCCGCCCACGTTCTCGGCTGGCCGGGCTGAGCCGCGTCGGTCAGGAACGGAGAAAAGGGGGAGGAGCTACATGCGGCTGAGGGACGCCGTGTGTCAGTATAGGTCACAGGGGTCTAAGAATGTCGGGTGTCTGTTTTTGTTTTTGGATCTGTAGTTGTGAATAAGACAGGGTCCTCTCCCTGTAGCGAGGAGCTTTGCATACCCACACACAACAGCCACCTGATTGAAGTTTGCCCACCCCACAGGAGTGCGCTTTATCTTTTTTGTGTTTTTCAACATAACTGTTACTGATTTTACAAATTCTGACTTTTTAAATTCATAAACATTTCAATCAAGAAAATTCTGAACAGTTTTCAAAAGTCAAGAGCTACGCCCTCATCTCCATCTCTAACCTCTACCCCTAGAAGCTAATGCATGCAAAGAGAATACATACACATCTTTGACGTTTGGGTTGTGAATAACAGTCTGGCTACACTTACTCTATGCTGCGGAACAAAGAAGGTGGTGTTTCCCAATGGAGGAAGAACTTGGTTTGCTGGAGACAGATGGGATATGAGTTCTTGTTTAGTTGCCTGTGAGCTCAATGTAGTTCACATTTGGTGGCAGGTTCTGTCAACAGTGACAGAGGAAAGTTTGCAACCAGCCTGAAAGAATGCCCACGTCTGTCATCTATCTATCTATCTATCTATCTATCTATCTATCTATCTATCTATCTATCTATCTATCTATCTATCTATTAGTATTATTATTATTATTATACAGGATTTATATAGCGGCAAAAGTTTGTTCAATGCTTTACAATATAAGGAAGAAATTACAATCACAATACAAGACAGGAAGGGCCCTGCCCCTGAGGGCTTACAATCTAAAAGGGAGGGGCCAGTGATACATGAGGAGGTAGCTGTGTGGGGATGAATTGTTTGAGAACGTGATGTTTGAGTGGTTAGGTTGAGGTGGGATAGGTTTCCCTGAAGAGATGAGTCTTAAGGGATCGCCTAAAGGCCGTCAGAGTGGGAGATAGCCGGACAGGTTGGGGTAAAGAGTTCCAGAGGATGGAAGAGACTCTAGAGAAGTCCTGGAGGCGAGCAAGGGAGGAGTTGACGAGGGAGCTGGAAAGCAGGAGGTCTTTGGAAGAGCGGAGGGGACGGTTAGGGTGATACTTTGAGACAACGTTTGAGATCTATCTCAATATCTCAATATCTATCTATCTATCTATCTATCTATCTATCTATCTATCCACTATACACACACACTATATGATCAAAAGTGTCCAGCACCTTTTTGTCCAACATTTCATCCTTTAATAAAGAGTATTGGTCAGCTGACGGTCAACCATTTGCTGCTATAAGGGTCTCTACTCTTTTGTTTTCTTTTGTCTACTAGAATTTTGGGGAGGTTGGACAGTGATGTTGGGTCAGGTTGGTTTGATGTTCCACCTAAACTGATCAGTTTTCAGTTGGGTTGAGGCCGGGCTCTATGCTTCCTTTTCTTGCCCCATCTCAGCAAATATTCAGAGCAGCTACAACAGGGCAGATCTTTTACCCGGAAAGATGGTTTGTTATGATGGTGGCATGTTGGTAGTCACTAATCTCTTCAGTTGGTCTAATTTTTTAGGGATGTTGAGATACCAAGAACCGTACTCGGTACAAGTACAAGTACAGAAACATTTCCAGCTGCAAGACTAGACTAGAGAAAAATTCAAAAGTTAGAAGGCCGCCTTCATGTGTAAGGAGCATTGGCTACGGGGATTTGTGCATCCATTTTAATGCATGATTTTTTTAAATATAAATACATATTAGTGATGCACCGATACCATTTTAGTACAAGTGCTGATACTTGTCCAAGTCCTCACAGATACAAGTGCTGATACATTTTCGTTTAGTGCCATGTGACAGTTTTTCTAAAACAATACAGACTAATGATTTCAGGACAGCGGTGGAGCGTCAGAGCCAGGTCTCAGCTGCAACCGCTGCAACCCTGGTAGTTCTCATGAAAACGCCAAGTATCGGCACTGGTATCTGAACATCCCTACATTCTTCTGTCACAGTTGGTTGTCTTTGGAGTCCTCATAGAAATATAGGATTCTAATGTCTGAATAAATTTGTCACCATCCACACAAATCTGACCACTCTTTTGGGTGGCGGTTGATATTCTTATACTTACTTGTGCTGACACAAGACCTTGCTCCATCCAGAAGCTGACATTTCTCATCATTGGCACAGGTCCTGTTAGAGCAGGTACTACGTCCGGATGGATCACAAGTACATTCCTGGGTGCAATTGTCATTGAGTAATGATTCATTGAACTGTGGTGACGATAAAGGAAAGAAAACATTTTAAAGTAAGATTTATAATAAAAAAAGATCTACTTTAGGCATTAATGTGACTCTGTCATTTGACAAGAGGGGCTTCTATTATTGAACTGCTTTTCGAAAATGTTATTTTGATCCATTGGCTTCAAAGCTTTGGCCCGGGACAAATATAGAAATAAGAAATTCAGTCACTTTTCTGGCTTTTATTTACCGCGCCTTTGTTCCAAGTCTGTGACTTATATATATGGAAGCTAGACACAGCCGCGCAACTAGCATTTTAAAAACAGGATCAGCAATGACAGCCCCCCTCTCTCCTACCAGCATGCCTTTAGGAATGCATGCTCATTCAGCCAGCATCCAGACAAAATAGCATTTATGAAGTCAGGTACTAGATGAGAAGACCTAGTTCACAATGGCTATTCCATTCCTTTGGCCCCACCCACCTCCTCTCCTTGTGGATGTAGCAGCCTCCACTCCTCTTCAAAGGCTTTCCTCAAGGCTTTGGAGGGTGTCTGTGGAAAGTTGTGCTCACTCGAGTTCCTCCACATCAAACTGGTCACACCATGTCTTTATTGAGCTGGCTTTGTACACAGGGGACAGTCATGGTGGAACAGAAAAGGACCGTCACCCAACTGTTACCACAAGGTTGGAAGAACACAACTGTCTAAAATGTAAGCTGTAGCCTTAAGAGCACCCTTACCTGGAAACCCCTGAAGTCATTTGGAGGGAGGTCCACATACTTTTGTCTATACAGTATTTTCAGCTTCTTGTGAATGTTATTAGTAGCTCTTATACATAAAATATATTTTTTTGTTTATTTAAAGTTTACTAGTTGTAGGTGAAAGCAAATTTAATTTCCAATGATCTGAGGAATCCAGCTCACCCTAGCTAATTAATTACTGCATTTAAATGAGCTCACTATACCCTGGTTTTGTATGGAGATAATGGATTAGCATTAATCATCCTTTAAAGTTATCGTGCAACTTTCTGTTCTCACCTTGAGATATCTTCCATTATGAATGCAGCCACATTTGTCAATGCTAACGCAATTTTCTCCATCAAAGACGTAGCCATTATCGCACTCACATCCCTCGAAACATGTCTTACTACAAGAGCTGGGTGCCAGAATTCCATGACAGGTGAATTTACAGGATTGGGTACATTGGCTGTAATGGCTGTTGGGTGGACAGGTAAGTGCTGCAGGATATTAAACAAAGTTATATAGTGGAACAAACAAAGTTTTATATACAAAAATCAAAAAGTTAAAATCACCGTAGCTTCCATATATACTTTAAGTATAATTTCCTTAATTTTTTTATATCCATAAAACCCCTTGTGACATTTTGAGTCCTGCACCAAAAATGCTCAATGTAGGATCAGCTTGGGGTGGAAGCCAAAAAAAACCCATTAGGGTAAAACCCACAAGAGCACAAGGAGACCATGTGTGCGTGATGCTTGGCAGAAATTAAACACAGGACACTTTCACTGCAAGGCAAGAGTGCTAACCTCTTAGGTGCAATGCTGTCCCTCAGCCAGGGATAGTTTTTTACTTACCACCCTGCCAAGTCATGTGCAGCTCTTTCTTCTACCCCACTTACCTGGTTGGCCTTAGTATCCCATTAAGAACATTAGATGTCACAGCTACACGACAAGGGTGGAGAGGATGAAGGGGCTTGTCCTTTCTGCATCAATTAGTGATGACAAGATGAACACGGCAAACTGTCTAGCAAATTGGCTCTAAGTGTTTGGATCCAGAGCGGGCAAATTGTAAGGACACACTATACTTTTCCACCAACAAAAATGTTCAAATTGTTAATAGACAGCCACAATGAGGACCCAGCCAGATACCACCAGCAGCCAAGGCAATATTCTGGAACTTTTTGTAATATGAGAATGTGTTACAAACTCTCAGTAACACAATGTGTGGTAGGTAGTTTTGCCACCCCTGAAAGCTCTGCCCAGTCTTAGGCCACAGACTGTATTGACCATGCCCACAGCAGTGGTAAAAAATAATAATTATAAACAGTACCTTCTAAAATTAATTCAATGCAAGATTTTGGATCAAGGAAATGATCTGTAATCCATTTCAAAGCTTGGTGGGTGATTTAATAATACAAAAAAAAACTTACGGCAGCTTGTGAGGTTCCTCCAAGCTTCAATGTTGCCTCCTTTTTCTTGGCACAATGCTGTGTAGGCTTGCAGGTTGGCACACAGAGCCTCTTGACCACCACGTCCGTTGCAAATGTCATAGACGCAGCTGTTGACATATGTAGCTGGTTGCACAAGGCGGTGACAGTCTTTTAATGGACCTTCAGGGTCCGCAATCATTCCACACTTAGTGGGGGATCTGGCCAAAGCAGTGCCGGCCTCATCACACCTTGGACATTGGTCACCAGAACATCCTCTGCAGTCAGATCCATCTCTAGATACTACCCAGGACTCACCGAAAACTGTGACATCACTGGCGATGGTGCCATTTGGAAGGCGGAATTCATCCTTAGAATTTTTGTTGAAATTTCCACAGAGGCCTTCAATTAAACTAGAGTAGGTGCTCGGTATCCAGACCGACACACAATGTTGCTGGTCAAACATGACTGTAAACCAATTTTTAGTTTGAACAAAGACATTGTTGCCGTGTTGGTTTATCCAAAACTCCTGACTGTGAGAGTAGTAAGGAAGGTTGTATCTCTCTCCATTGATCTAAAAATGAAAGAAAAATATTTAAAGATTTGCAGAGCATGCCAACATTTCCTACTTTTGATCTGAGCTGCTTTTGAAAATTGTTTATTTTTCTGAACTTCAACAATTAGCCAGCCAAAACTATGAAGGAAGAAATCATGATTGCCAGCAGGACTAATAGGGAAGTCTCACTATCAGGCACTGTCAGGAGGTGTTGGTGTCAGGAACCCAGATGCAGGGAGACTCACCAATACAAAAGAAACCTCTAAAAAAGCAGACTGAATTGTTATGTTCAGCCTCCTATATAGGGGTAGCCAGCATAGGTAGAGTCCTTAGGCGAGGTGACCATAAGCGAAAATCCGAGTCTCAATACAATAACGTAGCATGGGTCAGGGTGGGCAGCAAAGGTTTAGGGTCAGAAAGACAAGCCAAAGGTCAGAATAACAGTAGTAACAGGAGGGCTAAGAGAGCTTGGTACTACACTATGAAATACTGCAATAACCAAGTACTGACTGTTTGGTTTGATTCAAATTTATACCCTTGGGCACTGAAGTGACATCATCCCTGGAGGCGCAGCTTCCTGTCTGCTGGTCTTCATTAGGCTGTGCAGTGACTGGCACTGTCTCTTTAAGGGGTGTGTACATGCAATGGTCAGCAGCCAGAGAACTGCAAGGAGGAGCAGGAGCAGTTTGATGAAGGGGAAGAAGAGACACAAGCAGCGGCCACTGAGACGAGACCCGTGGCTGACACCCAATGTCCATGGACAGCTGGGGGGGATGCATCCCTGCCACATTGCTCCCTGCATCGGCAGCAGGGACTCGGGACAGGAGAGAGACTCGGCGGCCGGGGGGGAGGACGGAGCATGGAGGACGGAGTCAGCATGGAAAGAGGTAGGTGCGGGGGGGCTGGGGGCAGGCTGCAAACTTATTACCAGTGATCTCGGCGACATCTCTGAGATCACTTGTAAACGTACAATCGGCTTCCCTGCTGTACATTTAGCTCTGCTTGTGCAAAGCAGGGCTAAATGTAAAAAGCAACCTACCGCCCGGCGCCCGGAACATGTCGGGGGATTTCACACCGCTGCCGCCCCGAGGCCGGGCCTCGGCGGCCTTGTGGGGAATCCAGGCGTGATTGTAGTACAATTAAAAGAAATATATTTGAATTCAAGCCAATATACTTACCAGTGCACTCCACGGTCTTCCTCTCTCCAAGCTAATCATGTGTTTTCCAACTCTCACTGTGACCGATTTGGTGACTGCCACATTGTGATATGGTTCATTGCTCACCATCACTTCAAATTCATCACTATTTCGATTCACCCTAAGAAGTGTGTAGGTGCAGGTGCCCTGGAATGAGTAGTACAGGCCATCGGGAGTGATGTAGTGGGGGTCTCCCCAAGCTACACACTGTCCAAACTCTTTGGGGTGGCATCCTAGGACTCCATCCACAACTTTGCATTCAGCGTTGGCTCCGCAGGAGCTGTCCTGGCAGGTGGCTACACCATTGGCGCCACATGTGCATTTCCTCTGGCAAAGACTGTCGGCGTAGAACTCCTGTCCCTCTTTGTAGTAGGTGTTCTCAAAGACACAACCACATTTTGACACTGACACGCAGTCCTCACCGCTGCGGATGAAGCCATTGTCACAGTAGCATCCTTCCGTATAAGATTGTATGCAAGATGGTGGAGCAATCAGACCAAAGCAGGTGGCAGGACAACCATTTCCAAGGAGCTCATAGTGACTGTTTGGAGGGCAGGTCAGTTCTGAGAACACGAAAGGAGAGGGATAAATAAGAGATGATCTTTAATTAGCCAAATCTAAGGATGTGTATGCAGCACCTAGGGTGTTTTATACTTGGACTATACAGCATGCTGTTCCTCCTGGTTCAGCATTTGATTAAAAACCTTGCATGATTTAGGCAAATGATTGAACATTGAAAGTGGGAATCTTTCCTGTGCAATGACTGGATGTGCTTAGCTTTCCTGTCTCTAAACACCATGCATAAGACCATAAGACCATAAGTCAATATTGTACTATTAGCATAGCCTACAATTCTTTCCAACCTCCTTCTAAAGCAGATAAAACTACTAAAATCTGTTCTTTACATCGTGATACACTACACATAGAAAGAAAACAAAACAATACCTGGATACTTTCATAGGTTTCAAAATCTACCGTGTTTCCCCGAAAGTAAGACCTAGCACTATCTTCAGGGATTTCTGATATATAAGACCTACCTCGAAAATAAGACCTAGCTGACCTAGTGTCTTTTTTCGTAGAAAAAAAAATATAAGACACTGTCTTATTTTCGAGGAAACACGGTAGTTCAAATATCTACAACATTGATATATACTATAATGGTGACTGGTGGCTATGGGGCAGTTTGAGTGGTAAGGGCATTCCTTTTCTTGGTTTTTGGACAGCACACTAGATGCTGCATCCCCATGCCCTTCACAAGAATTTGAATCACAGTGTTCTTATTTCTATAAAACGACTTACCACAGAAAGATGGTGTTCTCCAATCCTTAATCGTGGATCCATTCCTTTGACACTCATAAACGTAGGAAGCCATGATATCACAAATTACAGACTGGTGACCTTTGTATTCACATGCATCAAACACACAGTCATCAAAGAAAGGTTTCGGATCAATGGAGGTATGACATTGCCCAAATGGTCCATCAGGTTTCATGAGAAGGCCGCAGTACTGGCTGCCCCTGTAGACCTCTCGTTGTTGATCATTGCACTTTGAACAGTCAGAGCATTCACCCTTACACTCAGCAAACTCTCCAACTTTCCAGTGCTCTCCAAATTCCTTCACATCTTTTGCTGTTACCCCATCTCTTTGGACAAAGTCATCAGATGGATTTCCATTATTGTTGCCACATAGACCATTTACGGCGCCTGTGTAGGTGCTTGGTAAGATTACACGTACATAATTCCAGCCCCCATAGCTTAAATCCAGTCCAAAACTTGTTTGAAGGTTTATAAGAGCCCCTGAGTGGTAGGCTCTTGTTCTTGTTGGCTCATGAAAATATGGCAAGCTCCTCAATATACCATCAACCTAAGAAACAAAATGTATACATTAACATAAGCTGTAGCTTGTTAAACTTCAAATATCAAAGAATGTTTATCACAAAATAGGGAGGCAGTCAAATGTAACTGAATCCTTTAACCCAATGTTCTAAATTAAGAAAACACCAATAGTTAGATCCATTGTTTCCTAACTGTACTTGTACAAAACAAGCGCCGGCTTCCCCGCTGTACATTTAGCTCTGCTTGCCCAAAGCAGGGCTAAATGTAGAAAACAACGACCCGCCCGGGCATCGGGAGATATCAGTTCCACACCCCTGCTGTCCCAAGGCCGGGCCTTGGTTGGCCTTGTGGGAAATCCGTCCCTGCTGACACATGCAGCAAAACTCAATTTCTGACCGAATTTCCTGAACACTAACTATATATGTGGGGCCTTAACTGTTAGTAAGTTTAGCTTTTAGTTTTAAATTAGGGATGTCCAGATACCAGTTCAGATACCAGTGCAGATACTCGGCATTTTCACGCGAACTACCAGAGTTGCAGCGGTTGCAGCTGGGACCCGGCTCTGGTGCTCCACCACTGTCCTGGAATCATTAGTCTGTATTGTTTTAGAAAAACTGTCACATGACAATAAACAAAAAAATATCAGTACTTGTATCTGTGATTACTTGGGCAAGTATCAGTACTTGGAAAAATGGTATTGGTGCATCCCTAATATGTATTTATAAAAAATAATAATGCATTAAAATGGGGATGTACAAATCCCAGGAGCTCTGTATGCTATGATATGTTACTGTATGATATGTTACTATTTCATGTGCCCAAAACCACAAAATTATCATAAGCAAAAATATTGTCTATGTATTGGGTCCTGGTGAGTTTAGACCATAACATATGGACTTGCACACTTCATTTAGCCATAGTGGTGGTTGTTTGTGGATTTTTCATAGCTTTTGTTGTCACTAGAATAATGCGGAAGACACCACATTGAGCTGGCCAGCACCTAAAGACCCACAACTGTAATTAATATATTTGCTGCAAAATGATCAAGCAGACCCTTACAAGTGGAAGTCTTGGGCAGCCTAATCTATAAATGTATACTGGCTTAAGTCAAATGAATTGGGCAAACCTTCAGAAATCAAGACGATAAAGAAGTAGAAATGTCACACTATTTTTTGTTGAGTTATTTATAAGTAGTTATCTCATCATAAAGTACACTGGAGTTTTATGGTGGTGGACTCCAAAACCATTCTTATGGAGATTCTATTTCTCCTCCACTTCCGGGATTTTATCTCAGGTGCTTCTATAAGACCCTGTCATGTTTGAGATTGCACACTACCTAATAGATTTAACCATACTCTGTGAAACAAAACAGCTTTTGGATCTGTTGCCTCCAACCTACAACTTAGAAAAAGTTCAGAAATAAAAAAACAAAAAACAAAGTACTAAGAACCTTAAAGCATTCTGCTCTTCTCCTAGCCAGTATACTATTATTATTATTAGTATTTATTATTATTATACAGGATTTATATATCGCCAACAGTTTATGCAGCGCTTTACAATATAAGGAAGACATTACAATCACAATACAATTCAAGACAAGATGGTAAGGAGGGCCTCGCCCCTGAGGGCTTACAATCTAAAAGGTGGGGGAGGTGATATATGAGGAGGTAGCTGTGTGGGGATGAATTGTTTGAGAATGTGATAGTTCAGTGGTTAGGTTGAGGTGGGATATACTGTATATATATAGATATATACAGGTGAAACTCGAATAATTAGAATATCGTGCAAAAGTAATTGCAGTAAGTGCTGCAAAAGGGGCCCAAACCAAGTACTGAGTACATATGCATGCTTGTACTTTTCAGTAAAAGGTGGCCCAACGAAGTACTGATGGGGTGGTCATAATAATCTGGCCACTCAGTGTGTGTGTGTGTGTGTGTGTATATATATATATATAGATATCTCTAAAATGTACACTAAAGTGTTTACATCTGTGACTTGAAACTATACTGTTAATATTGTATTTTATACCTTAATCTGTTGTGGGTGGTCTCTGCTCAGAGTCATGGTGTGGCTGTCCAGGTGCAAGGTCACACTTTTGGTGAAGGACACAGCTTCGTTACCACGCTTTTCATTTTCAACAGTGATGGAGAAGTGTTTCAAGAAGGGATCCGTTACGTTCACCAACTGGTAGATACAACCACCCATGAATGCAAATCTCTTTCCGTCAAATGTCTGGTGATGAGGATCTCCATGGGTTATGCAGGTTGAAAACCCTTTAGGATGACATCCTCGTATTCCATTGACCACTGTGCAGGTCTCGCTGTCTTTGCATTTGCTTGGTTGGCAAACCACCTTCCCGAGACCCGACTGGCATTGGCAAAGTGTGCTACATTTCTCATCATGCCAGGACTGGTTAGGCTCATGATATCGCCCGTTGTGGTTGCAGCCACAGCTTGATATGTTAACGCACTTGTCCCCACTAAGGACCGTCCCTTCGTTGCACTCACAAGTCTCTACACAGGATCTTTTACATGTGGCTGGAGCATTCTTGTCAGAGCAAGTAGCTGGACAGGCATTACCACAGGCATTGTAATGGCTGTTCTTAATGTTACATAACATTGCTGAAAGATAAGAGTGATTGGGTTAATTATTGGCAAAGAGCGGAAATCTAATAAAGTTTGTACAGACACAGTTTGTACAGATAATAAAACTGTAAACAAATTATAATAGTGCCCTGGCAATAGAAAATTGAGCTCTACTTACGACAACCAGAAGTTTTCCTCCAATCATAAACCTTAACGCCTTCATTTAAGCACATCTTTGCATAGGTCTCCAGGGCTTGACACAGAATGGCCTTTGCTCCATCGTTCATACAGACATCAAAGAGACAGGGTTCAAAGAATTTTTTGGGATTTACTTTTTTAATACAGTCTCTGAAAGGGCCATCCTCTTTAAGAAGGATACCACACTGATCATCCCCTCTGTACTGAGCCTTCTTGTCCTTGTCACAGTTTCGACACTGTCCGGGACACTCATCAAAACAGAAAAGATCCTGGTCATCCTCCTTCCATTCTTTTATCCATTCTGTGATTGAAGGGAGCGCTGCCCCATTACGACTGCTCTGCTCATCGTTTGGATCCTGGTTGAAGTTGCCGCACAGTCCAGAAGTTGTGTTGTAATAGCTACTGGGAATAACTACAATAGCTAACGCGTTCCAGTCATAACTCACAAAAACATTGTTCTGAGCTTCCACCATGGCTGTCATACCACTCTGGCTTACTTTCAGTCTTCCATCAGCGAGAGTGCGTGGCAGATTGGTCAGTTCACCATTGACCTGTGAAGAGAATATTCATTAGCGTCCTATGATCAGTGAAAAAAAGTTTTTTAAAAAATGACAATATTGAACCTACAGTTTCAAGAGCAGAGCGGTAATGATGTGTTCATATTATGATTATTAAAAAAAAGTTGTAGCACTCGCTTCACTACTTGATTAATTAAAGATAAACTTTAGTCAAAAAGACTCCTTTGGCTAGTATGTAGCATACGTTAAAAAATGATTACACTTTGTTTATGGTGCATAATACTAGATGACCAGTGGCTGGTCTGACGCTAATAGCCAGGACCGTGACAAACTGCTGCGCCACTGTGCCCTGGAGCATATTAAGTCACTTGAGGTTCTGCTATCCTTATTGTACTGTACACGCTTGTCTTAAGGTGCCCATACACCTGCCAATTATCGTACGAATCGTGGGTAATCACGCCATCGTACCATAATCAGCAGGTGTATGGGCAACGTGCGACCTCTTCTACTGTAAGGTCGCACGACATTCGTCTTCCGAGCACGCTTGTAAACCTGCCGAAAATCGTACGATTTTCGGCGGGTCAGTGGCGTGGTCGGGAGACGAATGCCGCACGGGCCGGTGTGCACAAGCCGCACGGGCCAAATGCCGCACAGGCCTGTGTGTGCACACTACCACTGCAATCATCGGAAGCCCTACCCTCAGCGGTGAGGGCTTGCGATGATCGCAAGTACGATCTGCCTGTCCAAGATGGGCAAATCGTCCGAAATTTTAATTACCTTGCAACCATAGCACAAGGAAAGTCGTGCGATGGTTGTAAGGTGTACGGCCAGCTTTATGTGCTGAACTGTTGGCTGCCTGTATGCAGGCTCTCATGTTACGTTCTTGTATCAGGCTGCTATTCTGCTCAATAAATGAAGATTTTAAAAAAAAGTTGTCACAGCTGCAAAAATAATGACAGTGCAGGATTGGGAAACTCCAACTATCTTGTTCATACAATTCAAAAGCATTGTCTCGCACACTATGCAGAAATTACTCAGTGGATAGATTTTCAGAAAAATTAAAACCTGTGGGTGGAGCTTTATTTTCCAACAAACTTTGATATGGGATCCCCAGCATGCTAAATCTGACCTCAACACATACTTGTTTGAAGTGCCAGGTGTGGGCTCCCAGCAGGAACAATCCCTATCTAGACCGGCCCAAACATCCATCTAACCATGCTCGTTACATCTTACCTCTACCCCTTTATCCCCTCTCTTTCACTCTAATGTCTTCTTCTCTTTTTGTTTCCTCCTCTTCTTCTACTTCCCTATCAATTTATAACTGTGAACACCAATATTATAATACTTCTTCAGGCAACGGGGCCTCTCCACCACCCTGAAGGAATTCTTTGTGTGGCTTATCCAAAATGTTTGGCTACCCTACCATGTGAAAACATTAAAAACTCAAGTCAAACTCAAGTTTGGATGGATATACATTCAGGTGTTACAGACTATTAGTGAGTATTCTGCTCTTCATGCTTTGATTGAGTACAAGAGCCCCCAAAACTAGGAAATAGAGGCTAAAATGACATTATAGATGTTAAAAGGTAAATAGGCTTTCATGGATGGGGTTTAGAACCTCTGACTTTCAGATCTGCCAACTCAGGATTAGTTGTTCCCATAAAACAATTCTCTTCAGCATGATCTCCATGCTAAATTTTCCCATTCAACCGAAGCGTATCTTCAAACATTTCAGTATTTCTATCTTTTACCCATTTAGGAGGAAACATTGGAAAAACATACTCGTATCTTATTGAAGTCTCCAGTTTGAATGGTAACTGTAACGCCATACATGGTCACCTTCACCCTTCCGACATAAGACACATCTTGGGTTCCTCTGTTGTCATTTTTAATGGTAACCTTGAATGGCTCCAGGCTGGTATCATTGCCAGCATACTGTGCCAAAGTGTAGGTGCAGGTTCCTTGGAAATCAAACTCCTTGCCATCAAACGTGAGGTGATGAGGGTCCCCCCATGCCCAACACAGACCCTCATAATCCGGCACACAGACTGCTTTCTCGTTTTGAACTTGACAGTTCTCCTTCACACGGCATGTTTTGTATTTGCATGGGTCTAAAAACAAAAAGATTTAAAAATATTCAGTATATCCAAATCTTGTATCCAAATACAAACTTTTAGAGCTGTCACCACCAGAGCAGGGATAGAGAAGACATCTTCAAGAGGAGACAACTGTTGTGATGACAGCTAAGAGAGAATTTCCTCCACTTTTGAAGAGATTTTGCCACACCATGTAATAATGTCTACAGAAATAGGAAGTTAAGGGAAATCTCCCCAATGGGACCCAGATGGCCAAAAAATGTTAGAGGTTTAACCCTACTCTATCAAAAATAAATAAGTGCAGCTGATGTAATTCATTCGATTCAATTTACATATGAATTAAGACTTCAGTAGAAGTTCTTCCCCATTCAACTGACCGCACTCACCTTTGTTAACACAAGACCTCAAGCCATCCCGAATCTGACAGATCTCATCTTCGGTACAGCTCCTGTTCTGGCAGTGCATGCCAGAGGTCGGGCTACAAGTGCACTCTTGGGTGCAGTCCTCACTTAGCACTGTTTCATTGGCCTAAAAAAAAAAGGGGGATAATGATCCCGGATTAGATTGTACACCCTGGGTTACCCAACCCAAAATAATCACACACTTCTCTTTATTTACCTTCAAATATCTCTCGTTATGAATGCAACCACATTTGGCGAAAGAAACGCATTGATCGCCGTCGAAGACATAGCCGGGGTCGCACTCACATCCCTCGAAACACTCTTTACTACAAAGGCTGGATGCCAGTAGACCATAGCAGGTGAATTCACAGGATCGGGTACATGGGCTATAGTGGCTGTTGGCTGGACAGCTAAGTGCTGCAGGGTGTTAAATACAAAAATACTATTTCAGACATCAGAAAATGGTTTACTCAAAAATGATTAAATCAGAATTCTAGGCAAATATGTATAATACTGTACAAGTCATCATTTATTTGCTGATACACTGCAATTATAATGAGTTATTCATAATCCCCTGCACATGAGGCAGAGAATGAGAAGGCCTGAGCTGTGAGCCAATCAGTGGGAACTATTGCCATTGTCTTTGTAATGACAATCAGGGCTGGATTTCCCACAGGGCCAACCAAGGCCCGGCCTTGGGGCAGCAGAGAGTAGAGGGGCAGCAGACGTGTGGAATTCCTATCTCCCGATGCAGACATGCAGTTCTGGGTGCTGGGCGGGTAGTTGTTTTCTACATTTAGCCTTCATTGGGCAAGCAGAGCTAAATGTACAGCGGGGAAGCTGCTGCTTTGTTTTGTAGAAGTGATCTCGGTGATGTCGCTAAGATCATTTGCATGCAGCCTGCAGGCCTGCCATTCTCCATGGTGGGGGTTGGCAGGTAGGGGGGTGCATTGAGGAAACTGGCCTTGGGGCACCAGAGAGAGTAAATCCGGCCCTGATGACAATACAATACATTACACAGTTACATTAACTGAAGGAGGGTCAGTGTGCAGATGGCCTCTGCTCAGCACTAATACTTCCACCACCTACCATATTTTGTTTGTCCATCTGGATGTGTCTTGAGATTTTATCTCTCTATGCTCATTTTAAATGGCTGTTTGTAAGTACCATTTCAGCTGTCATTTTTACTCGAGATAAATCAGTTTTACACTATGGATGCCCTCCTTTTGCTTTGTTTCCATTAGTACTGTTCATTTAACATATCTTAGCTACTGGAAGATGAAGAGGGGATGTACAGTATATGTTGGTAGATGTACAAGGAGCACACATGGAATATGGGATGATTCTCCTTAGTAGTGCTGTTCAAGATGTACTCTTTTAACAGCTAATTAAACTTAAAAAAAGTTTTATTTCAATTGTATGTTGTCCCTCCAAGCTCCAAAGTTTACTTCCTTTGCTTGGCACTAAAAAAGAGAGTCCTCTTTTTGCAATGGGTTGAGTGAGACAACATGGGATTGTAACAAAGACTGGGCCCACTGTGGAGAAATGTGGTCACTAGAGCATGCCCTACAGATTCTAGAAGTTAGCTCACCAGGGTCTATCCATCTCTGAATTTGGGTTTTGGTGGGACAAATTATGTGATAGTAAGTGCTCCTGACTGGCAAAAGAGGACAACACATAGTTCAAGAGGTACCTTAGTGACTAGCTAAGAAGCTAATACGATGTAGTCCCATTCAACTGGACTTGTTCTATAATGCTAAAAACTGGTCAGGAGTTGTATATGCAGGGACGTGCGGTCAGGGGAGGCAGGTGAGGCAGAGGCTTACCTACTATTAGGAAGAAAAAAGGTGTCAGCTTCAAGTCTGAAGCTGACAGCTTTTTCTCCATTCAGAGTGGATTGCTACAGGTTACACAGCGGGGAAAGCCTCCCCGCTGTGTAACCTGTCATGGACGGAGCGCTGGATGTTAATTACAGGCAGTGCTGCATCCAGCTTTTGACAGGTAGTTAGGTTACACAGCAGCAGGCTTCCCCACTGCTTGTGTAACCTAACTTGGTGATTAAAGAGCTGTCACAGCCTCTACTCAGTGTTAGAGGCGTGAGCTCTGTGAATGGCTTGGACCACTGGCAAAGCGCCATAGGTCCAAGCTGTCCAATCAAAAAAAAGAAAAAACAATCCACTGAGGTCATCGATCTCGATGCCTCAGGAGTGACGAGCAAGTGAGGGACAGGGAGGCTCCTCCCTGTATCCTCCCTTCCTCCTCCCCACAGAGCTTGGTTACCGAGCTGGGAATTTGGCGGGACAGGGGGGTGGAGCTTCTGCGGGACAGGAGCGGCGCTTCAGTGGGATGGCGCGGAGTTTTGGCGGGGCGGGGGATGTCTCACCGCAGCCCAGAAGGTACGACTGTGTATATGTCAATGGAACATTGGTTGAATGTGGCTGACTACTACTAGCTGTAGCATGACCTGGATAATTGAGAACCTTCACAGACTAGCTAAAAATATTTAAAAAAAACATTGGAAGCAAAGGGATGACCACTGAAAAAAATCTTGTTTCAGGCATAAGCTGAACAGATACTGTACATCAATTTCCAAAACTTACAGCAATTGTCGATGTTCCTCCAAGCACCAACATTTGCTCCTTTTTCTTGGCACAGTGCTGTGTAGGCTTGCAGACTGGCACACAAAGCGTCCTGACCACCACCTCCATTGCATACATCAAACGCACAGCCCTTGACATAGTTCTCCGGGTTTGCCAGTTGATGGCATTCTTTGAACGGTCCCTGGGGATCTGAAATCATTCCACATTTTGTTGGTGAATTGGCCAGAGCAAAGCTGGCTTTGTCACACTTTGGACATTGATCGCCAGAGCATCCTCTGCAGCCCGACCTATGTTTATCTATTGACCAGGACTCTCCAAAAACCGCTACATCATTGACAATGGTGCCATTCGGAAGGCGGGTGTCATCGCCCGGATTTTTATTGAAATTTCCGCAGAGGCCTTCGGTTAATTCAGAGTAGGTGCTCGGTATCCAGACTGACACATAGTAATACCCGTCAAACATGGCCGTGATCCCATCTTTAGTCCAAACAATGATGTTATTCCCTTGTTGGTTTATCCAAAACTCCCGATGGCGAGACTGGAAAGGAAGGTTGTATCTCTCCCCATTTATCTAAAAATGTAAAATGAGACAAATAGATGGTGAACACTTGGTGGTAGCGTAAGTCTTATCATAAGAAACATCAAGTGCCATAAAATGTGATGCTTTTGAACTCAAGTGCTGGCATAGCTGTTGAGATTTCTCTAAACTGCAAGAAAAAAAAGTAAGCACCAAAGGCAATAAAACTAGAAAGTGCTGAAATATTCTGCTCTGTAAAGATGACCCTGACAATAGCACAGCTTAAAGCATGGGTGTCAAACTCAATTTATTCGTGGGCCGCATTATGGTTGCCCTCAAAGGTATCTGTAAGACTATATAAATGTATCTAATCTTTATGATAATTGCCTCTGTATTCGATTATCACTGGTTTCAGTAATGACTTAATACCTAGATCTGAAAGTAGAAGTCTAGGAAATGGCCTGGTGGGCCGGATTCGGCCCATGGGCCTTGAGTTTGACACATGTGGACATGGGTGTCAAACTCAATTTAATCATGGGCCGCATCAACATTATGATTGCCCTCAAAGGGCCTGTAAGACTATATAAATGTATCTAATCTTTATGATAATTGCCTCTGTATTCGATTATCACTGGTTTCAGTAATGACTTAATACCTAGATCTGAAAGTAGAAGTCTAGGAAATGGCCTGCAGGGCCGGAATCAGCCCCTGGGCCTTGAGTTTGACACATGTGGTTTAAAGGAAGAGGAGAAAGGGGGGTGCAGAGACTGAATGGCCATTTAAAAAAAGGGTAGATATAAGCCATAATCAAATGATATCACATTTGCTCTGTGCACTGTGTAGCATAACTTTTACCTTTTTTTTAATAAAATACTTGTTTTTACATTTTATTTTTTTCATGGAAACATAGACCAAGTACTCTGGAAGAGGAGAGCTAAGCTCTGCTAAGGCTTCAGGGCTTCTGTTGGGAACTTGGAGGATAAATTGCTCGACAGTTCCTACAGGTACAGAGGTCAGTGAAGGGTTGTTTCAAAGCTCAGTTACTCTTGAGAAGAATACTTAAATGTCCATAGCCTGGCCACAGGTTCACTTTACGACAGCGTTGTAATGGACATGTTAACCTTTAAGGGGTCACATTTCTAGTAAAGAGATATTTACAATTATTAAGCTGTTTAATGTTATGAATGACATATAAAATGTGTAATATATACACACACATATATATATATATACAGGGCCCGATTTCCCACAAGGCCACCGAGGCCTGGCCTCGGGGCAGCAGGGGGTAGAGGGGCGGCAGTTTTTTTTTCTACATTTAGCCCTGCTTTGGGCAAGCAGGGCTAAATGTAGGGCAGGAAAGTCAGTGTAATAAGAAAAAGTGATCAAATGATCCCGGCGATGTCGCCGAGATCACTTGTAATATGCCTGTAGCTTTGTACCCCCCCGCCGTCCCCCCTTTATGGTCCGCCCCCACCTCACCTGGCTGCCTGTCCTCGCTGGCCACCTCCCTTTCCGCCATGGTTTTCAGGGTCCCCCGCTCCTTTGGGGTACCTGGGACCTGGAACATTCATTAATTATGGAGAGCGGGGAGCAGAGCGGAGAACGTCCATTCTCTGCTCTGCTCCATGTAAACACAGAGAAGGTAGAGCTGCACTGGCAGCCTTCCCCTCTCTGCTGTCACAGTAGAGCCAGCACAGTGCTGTTCTAGAACTCCTGTAATGGAGTTGACAGGTTCAATAAAGAGAACCCTGTCACCTCCAAATGCTATCACAGAGGGGCTTGTTTTTTAAATGGATTTTTTTTTTTAAATAATGAAATTAAATTTAAAAAAATAATACGAAATAATACAGATTAAAACATTTTTTAAAAGTGATAGAAAAGTAAAAAAAATTATAAAATATAAAAACTATAAAAAGTAAAGGGTAATAAGATACTGTAAATACAAATGTTAAAAAGTAAAAGAAATAAAAAATAAAAACAATTTAAACCAATCCTGCCGCCCCCGGCATCTGGTTGCCATTCTCCATTGGGGGAGAGGTTTGGGGGGGGCGCATTGAGGAACTTGGCCTTGAGGCAGCAGAAAGAGTAAATCCGGCCCTGTATATATACACACACACATATATGTGTGTGTTGGCAAATTGTATGTTTGTTAAAGGAAAACATTTTAGTAATTAAGGGGGGACATGATTTTCATGTACAAAATGTTCAATAGTCATAGCAACATTAGCAACAAACTCTTTAAGATTAATTCCGTAACAAAGACTAGAGGACACCACCTGAAACTGGCAGAAAAAAAAAATCAAAACACAAGGATCTTCTCAGTTTGCGCGGTTAGGGTCTGGAACTCGCTGCCTCAAGCAGTGATTTCCGCAAATAGTCTGGAATCATTCAAGAAGCTTTTGGACGATTTCCTGAGAGACCGTAATGTACAAGGGTACAGGTACTATTAAGAATGAGAACACTCAGGGACCTATATACACACACACACACACACACACACAATAGGTTGGACTTGATGAACTTATGTCTTTATTCAACCTCAAATACTATGTAACTATGTATGTAACTATGACTGTTCATTACACTCACCAGTACAGTCCTTCCTCTTCCTCTCTCCAAACGAATTATGTAACTGTCAATTCTCACTGTGACTGATTTGGTGACTGCCACTTTTTCGTAGGGTTCATTTTCCACTATTACTTCGAAGTCAGTATGTTTTTTAATCCCAATAAGTTTGTAGGCGCAGGTGCCCTGGAATGAGTAGTAGAGGCCATCTGGAGTGATATAGTGGGGGTCTCCCCAGGCTACACACTGTCCAAACTCTTTAGGGTGACATCCTAGAACTCCATCCACCACTTTGCACTCAGCGTTGGCTCCGCAGGGACTGTCCTGGCAGGTGGTTATACCGTTGGCACCGCATGTACATTTCCTTTGGCAAAGAGTATCGGCGTAGAACTCCTGTCCTGCTTTGTAGTAGGTATTCTCAAAGACACAGCCGCATTCTGGCACCGGCACGCAGTCCTCGCCGCTGAGGATGAAGCCATTGTCACAGTAGCACCCTTCGGTGTAGGATGGTACACAAGATGGTGGAGCAATCAGGCCAAAGCAAGTGGCAGGGCAACCATTTCCAAGGAGCTTGTAGTGGCTGTTCGGGGGGCAGGTCAGTTCTGAGAATACAGAAAAAGCTTTATGTGTTAAAGATGATCTTTATTTTTACACATACAACAATATAAAATACTATTTGTTGTAATAATTATAGCAAAATACAACTGTTACTGAGTAATTCTGCATTTCAGTATAAAGTATGGCTGGGATTTGTAGCCCTCTATAGCCATTGCCATTTTGCATTGCCGTGTAAAGTATTGCTGGGAGCAGCGGTCTACAACCTTTTTGGCACCAGGGACCGGTTTCTTGGAAAAAAACATTTCTACGGACCGGGGAGGAGGGAAAGGTTGTGGGGGGAAGTGAGGGGAGGCAGTGAGGGATAGTTTCATATTGTTAGAAATTATTCTTTCTAATATTATTACATTGTAATAATATAATGAAATAATTGAGGAATCAGTGGGAGCCCTGAGCTTGTTTTCCTACTCTCAGGTGGCCAGTTGGGCTCTCAGTTGGCCAGTGGGGGCTTTCAGGTGGTCAGTGGGGCTCTCAGGTGGCTAGCTCAGGCTCACGGGTGGCCATTGCAGGCTTTCAGGTGGTTAGTGTGGCTCTCCGGTGGGCAGCGTTGGCATTTTAAGAGCCAGGGGGGCCCAAAAGAAAATCTTGCACCAGGGCCCATTGTTCCTTAGGTCCGCCCCTGATTGTGTTGATAGGTTATATACAAGAGCAAGTCCACCTAACATTCTTGCAGCCAGGGAATCTATTATATCTTCAGAGAACGTTCCCATTTTGTTTGTAGGAAGATTGCCCTGTTTAGAGGGCACAAATCATTCCTGAGGTACATAAATATGGATCTTAGGAGAAGAAGGAAGTCAAGCAATTTTTGAAACCTTTGAAGGCTTACCAGCAAAAAATGTTTTGTTTTTTTATGGGTACTTTAGCTACAAAGTATTGTAGTACTTTTTTTTTTTTAGTGCCTGTTTTCTCATGCTAAAAGTGAAGTATATAAATCACACACTGTAGCTTAGTCCTGAAGGCGGAGGGCCTCCCAGGTGAGCTCCTACACCATTATTTAGATGGCACAGAGCCTGAGGACCCAGCTTACCACAGAAAGATGGAGTCCTCCATTCCTTGACCATGGAGCCATTTTTCTGACACTCAGAAACATAGGAGGCAAGGATGTTGCAGACAACTGACTGGTGGCCCTTGTAGGCACAGGCATCAAATAGGCAGTCTTCAAAGAATGGAGCTGGGTTAACAGAAGCATGACATTGACTGAATGGTCCATCAGCTTTGATGAGGAGACCACAATACAGGTCACTCTTGTAGGTGCCCTTCTCTGCATCAGTGCATTTTGGACAGTTAGTGCACTCTCTTGCGCATCCTTTAACTTCTCCCACCTTCCAGTGGTCTCCGAATTCTTCAGCGCTGTTGGCTTTTACACCGTTGCTGATGGTGAAATCATCAGAGGGATCTCCATTGTTGTTGCCACACAAACCACTTACGGCTGCAGCATAGGTGCTTGGCAAGACAACACGTACATGACTCCATCCATCAAAAGTCAGTTTTAAGTTGAAGTCTGTTGTGAGGACCACATCAGATCCTGACAGGTAAGCAGCAATCTTTGTTGACTCATAATAGTACGGTAACCAAGTGTATTGTCCATCAACCTAAAATGAAACAGATATAGATGTAATTTTGTATATTGATGAGCACATTTGCCTAGGATCGATGCACCAAGGGCTCAGAAAATCTTGTTCGGATCTTGTTCGAAATTCAGCAAACCTGAACATAGACCTCTATTGAAGTCAATGGAATGAGAATTTTAGTGTTAAATTCTGGTCATTTTAATGGCTAATAGGCCAACTACTGTCATAGGAAGCAGCGCACTGCCATGAGAGACTTGTACCAATGCAAAAAAAAATACCATACATACTGAAGGCTCCACTTTGAGCACCTCAATCCTAAATAAGAACTCTAGGCAAAAGAAATCTTAAGTAAGTGCTCGTTTTGTCTAGGGAGCTAAAACAACAGAGATATACTCACCCATAGCTCCCGGTTGGCCATTAGGCCAGTCCCTTCAGTCTCCCTGCACCTCCGCTCCAGCAATCTAAGGTCCTGTGAGTCATCACAATCTATACGGTGTATAGGACATAAGGATGCCAAGGGACACTCCATCGCTGGAAAGGAGGATACAGACTTCAGGGACTTGTAGAAGCCATCTGGGATCTTGATGGCAAGTATAGCTCCTCTGCAGTCTACTGCTTTGATCAGCTCTTCTTTATAATTACACAAACATTTCAACCAATGTTGAATCTATTAATTGCTTCCTTAACAAATTCTCTTATTCTCTGATTTTTTTAAATTACACCAAAGTATAGTTTTTGCATTAAACTACTAGCATGGCATATCTCTTGCCAGTGCCAGTAGTAGGTTCTCTTGTCTAAAGGTGCCCATACACTGCACGATTCTCGTACGAGAATCGCGGAAAATCCTGCGATCGTACGAGAATCGTGCAGTGTGAATGAAGACGTGTGACCGTTTCTACTGTACGGTCGCACGTCTTTTGTCTAAGGAGCATGCTAGAAAACCAGCCGAAAATCTTACGATTTTCGGCTGGTTTATGGCATGCTCGGGAGACAAATGCCGAACGGACTGGTGTGCGCGCGCGCACACTGCCCGTTCAGCATTGCGGTCATCGGAAGCCCTCCCCTCAGGGGGGCGGGCTTGCGATGATCGCAAGTACGATCTGCCTGTCCAAGATGGGCAGATCTTATGTTTTTTAAATTACTTTACAACCATCGCAAGACTAAGGTCTTGCGATGGTTGTGAAGTGTATGGCCACCTTAAGACCTCCACCATTAAATCTTGTGACTCCTGCTGCAACAGGAGTAAGTCTCAATTCTCCTACACCACATAAAATCATCCAAAATGAAACACAAATTTGAACAGATTATCTTTTTAACATATGTGGCAGCAGGCAGATGGGGATGTCTGGGTATAGCCAGGATGGCAGATTTGTATGGCCCAGTTTCAGGCGGGCTGAGCTCCTTACTCTAGGGGGAGGTATTGAGAGTGTTGGAGGCCTAGAGGTAACCAGGCCAGCTGAAGAAAGCTGGCTCATTAGGGCCTCAATAAGATATCCCAGGCTGCTAAGTGAGACAGAGGAGGTCTCTGCAGGAGTCAGGAGGGCTCCACCGTGGAACCAGTCTGTGAGTCTGGCCGACTGGGGAGCAGTTCACCTGTACGGTGAAAAGCAGCCTGTGTGGCAATCCGCCTGTGTTGCCAAAGACAAGCCTGTGTGGCCAGATGTTTTGAGGTAAAGGAACCACCTGAAGTCGGTGAAAAATGTTTGTTTGATGACAGAAAATGGTACTTTATGTTTGAAACACCTGTGTGGACTTTTCTTTTGAGTTGTGAGTTAATAAAAGTGGCCAAGGAAGCCCTTAAAAAGTGAAAAGCGAGTGGCGGTGTCCTTAATGTGCTAGCGTTTGGAGCTAATCATAACACACTCCAATTTCACTTGAATTTTAGATTTCCAACTTGGAACCCTTTTGGTTTACTATAATATAATAGATGGTATCTCTTCTGCTTCAAGGTTTTTCTTAAATAAAAATGTCAAATGTCCCCTCAATCACCATACCTTTATCTTCCGTGGAGTATCTTTACTGACGGTTATGGTTTTGTTGTAGGCTTCCAATGTCACATCTTTGGTGAAGGCCACTGCTCTGTTCCCTCGGTGTTCATTCTGGACTTTCATGGTGAACTTGACCAGGGATGGGTCATCAGAGGTTACCTTAACCAGCTGGTAGATGCAGGTCTTCATAAAATTAAACCTCATTTTGTCAAATGTGGTATAGTGAAGATCACCAGAGACTATGCATGTTCTGTACTGCGTAGGATAGCAGCCTCGCTTTCCATCAGCCACCATACACATCTCGCTCTTTTTACAGCTTGTTGGCTGGCAAACGGGCATGCCCAGTGCTGGATCGCATTTGCAGAGCAAAGTACATTTCTCATCATACCAAGACTGGTTGGGTTCGTAATACCGTCCGTTGTATTGGCAACCACAGCTTGAGATGGGCACACATTTACCCCCGCTTAGAAGCATTCCTTCATTACATTCACAGGTTTCTACACAGGGCTTCTTACACTTCGACGGGGCAGTTCTGTCAGAGCAACTGGCTGGGCAGGCATTTCCACAGGCAGTATAATGACTGTTTGGATCTTCACATGTCTTTGCTGAAATGTATAAATGAAGATAGTGATAAGAAATATGCAATATCTGTAACATGTATAAGCCCCCTCTTACTACCATTGGTCAATTAGGCCCTGCAAATGACCTAAAGGATCTCTACCCGTTCCTGACATTTTTGCCATTTGTATCCATCAATTGTGATGTTCTTGGGCACCTTTCCAACTCATCAAGCACTCTCGGCCTTTAAGGTGTATGTAAATTTGAAGAATGAAATTCCCTTATGTCATCCCTTTTGTACTGTTAAATATATCTTTGGAACTTTTTTGCTATATCTGTTTCATGAGATTTAAAAAAATACCTGCTGTTCCTGCCAAAAATCTCTATACAGCGCAATGCAGAATATCACCAGCTATAGAGGAGTACAACAAATCCCAGCAATACATTATACATACATTGTATAATGTATTGCTGGGATTTGTATTCCCATGTAGAATATACAGCACAATGTACCATCAGCTATAGAGGAATACAAATCCCAGCAATACATTATAGAGCACCATGTGTGGGAAAGTGCAGGCTTACCTGAGCAGTCTTCCAGCAACTTGCTTCTGAGATCGGACCTGTCTATCGGCGATTGTCATCCCCCCACACCTGCTCCTCCTTACTACATCTCCCCGCGTCCCTGTGCCGATCGTGGATGTGGATGGGCAGGAAATGTGAGGCGGGGAGGAGGTGCGGCGTGTGGAGCGTGGATGCTAGCGGGTCTGGCAGTGGCGAGCGTGAGGAGGAGGTTGCCGCGCACAGCGCGTGGAGCTCTGAACAGGGACAACTGATTGGAAGCCGATTAATCGATTATTGAAAAAGTTGACAACTTTTTCAATAATCGATTATAATCGATTATGTCGATTAGTTGTTGCAGCCCTACTTCCTATCCTTTCCTTGTTGACATGTAAGCTGCGGAAAAATTCAGTTCAGTTGGGATATTTCGTTATTTCGGGATTCCGTATTCGGATCCAAAATTCAATTAAGGTTCGGGTTCGGATGAAATCGAAGTTTTCTTTAGATTCGTATGCGCTTACGAATATTCGTTGCAAGTACCACAGAAATCCATCTACAGATATTAATACTAAAGCTGAATCTCCCAGACCCGAATGGCATTGGGGATCCGAATGTCCGAATTGCATTTGCGAGCTCCCGTATGCCATTCGGGTCTGGGAGCCTCAGCTTTAGTAATATATGTATATGACTCCCAGACCCGAATGGTATTCGGGAGCTCCGCAATGCAATTCAGAAATTCAGATCCCGAATGCCATTCGGGTCTGGGAGCCATATACATATATTACTAAAGCTGAGGCTCCCAGACACGAATGGCATTCGGGAGCTCCCGAAAGCAATTCGGAAATTCAGCTCCTAAATGCCATTCGGGTCTCGGAGTCTCAGCTTTAGTATTATATGTATATACTGTGTATGGCTCCCATGTTGCCGTAACAAAAATTTGTGTTCAGACCCATTCGGATACATTAAACCGAAAAACACGTCTGATTGGCCAGAAAAGTCACATGTCCGATTTAGTTTTGTTTTTGAACGAAATTCGGACGGGATCCAAAATGCGAAAACGGAAATTCGGATTTGGACACATTCGGATGCATTGGGATTCGGAAATTCGAATGTGTAGGAACTAAACGAATCACCCATGTCTATTACATTGGTCTCTGAGGACTACAGAACCACACCTTCTGAGACAAATATTTTAAAGGAGAACTATGGGGTTAAGGCTTTTCCCCCATAGTTCTCCTTAGGGTAACGGGAGGACACAAACTAGCGTCCTCCCGTCACCCTAGGCTCAGTATATCGGGGGCTACAGCTCACTATATACTGAGACGCCGCAGCCGGGACGGATCCCGACACTACTGTCTGGATCCGCCCAGCTGCGTGACTGACAGCTGGCTCTGCCTATCTAGAGGCAGAGCCAGCTGTACCCGCCCCCTCCCCCCAGTCAGTGCTGAAGGATCGGAGCAGGGAGGGGGGAATCCAGCCCCTCCCCTGTCACGGCAGAGAGGCGTGACAGGATCTAGAGCTGAGCGAACGCCGGTATGTGTTCCCTCACCTCCCGATCTACTGAGCCGACCTGTGACAGTCTCATTGTCACAGGTCGGCTAGAACTATGAGGTGAGTGAAGAGCACTCACCTCATAGTTCTCCTTTAAATCATTCGTTACATGTACCTAGAGCTTCCAATGGCACACGGTTTTCTGCTATAGAAATCTAGATGTAGAGATAAGCAAGCTTCTGAACACTTTTAGCTTTCACAGATTCGTTTGAAAGGGTTTGTGTATCTTAGGTGGGAATAGATTGAATAGAGTAAAATGTACTTACAACAATTACTGGGTGTCCTCCAGTCATACAGTTTAACCCCTTCGCTCAGGCATGTGGTTGCAAACGTCTCCAAGGAGTGACAAAGGATGGCTCTAGCACCGCCGTTCGCACACACATCAAACAAGCAGGAATCCAAAAACCTGCTGGGGCTGATTTTTCCGATGCATTCTCTGAAAGGACCATCTTTTTTGACGATTAACCCACATTGATTATCTCCCCTGTACTGATCCTTATTCCCCTCATCACAGGTTGAACACTGACCAGGACAAGAGTCGAAACAGAAAGGATCTTGATCGTTCTCTTTCCATGCTACTAGCCAGTCGGTGATTGAGTTCACTAATGTTCCGTCTTGAGCTCTTTGGTCATCATTTGGATCCTGGTTGAAGTTGCCGCAGAGGCCAGAAATTGCGCTGTAATAGCTGCTGGGGATTGTCACGGTACACATCCAGTTCCAGTCAAATGTTACTATTATACCATTGTCTGCCTGCAAAACGACTGTGAATCCACTTTGGAATGCATTTAGTCTTCCATCGGCAAGTGTGGCTGGCAAGCTGATCAACTCACCATTAACCTGGGAGAATGGAGAAAATATCAGTTGCTCTGCATACTTTGTATATTGTGATCAACAAAAGAAAATGGAGGACACTGTGTAAGGGATCGGACCACTCAAAACTGATATTTCAGAGTTTGGGGTATGTTGGAGAATTAAACCCCCAATAATTTCTTCTGCCTCTTGTGGACTACTATGATCATTATGAGGGGTCCCAACATCTCTGTGTTGAGTTTCTGAGTCTGTACACTATATGTGCCCATTATGAGGATTTCTCACCATCCCTGCACTGTGTTTCTGGATCTGCCCACCTGCTATGCCCACTATGAGGGGCTTCCAGCATCCCAGCAATGAGTTCCTGAGACTGCACACCAGCTGTGGGGATTATAAGGAGCTCCCACTATCCTTGTGCTGAGTTCTCAGGTCTGCACATCTTCTGTGCCCAACATAAGGGGGTGTCACTATCCCTATATTGCATTCCTGGGTCTTCAGTGCTAGTATGCCTGATACAAGGGACTCCCACCACAGCAGGAATTAGTTCCCAGGTCTGCACACCTTCTGTGTTCATTATGAGGGGCTTCCACCATCCCTGCACTGAGTTCCCAGGTCTGCAAACCTGCTGGGGCCATTTTGAGTTACTTCCACCATTCCTACCGATTGATATATTTATTTTATATTGTAAAACATGTAGAAGGAGGAGCTGGAATATCCACAACACCCAAAACTCCCAATGGGACAGGAACAGAGTCAGGAATTATGGCCAATCTGACACAGTCCTCTAGGTTCCAGCTATGACAACAACATCCCATTTGGTGGATCAACCCCAAATGGGAAATCTGTCATGAAATAGGTTCTAACCATAAGGCATTCTGTCCAAAGCTGTATGGAAAGTTTTAGCCTTTGATATACTTTAAGTGGCCCGTACTGGGGCACACAGTCTTACGGTTTTCAATAAAAGATGGGATCCCAAAATCAAAGGACTCATAAAATGTTGAGATTTTTTTTTTTTTAATTGGACAGTTTCTGTTAATCAAATATTTACTCACCCGTATTTGAGGAAATTCTCCAACTTGTGCTGAAACCTTAGTGTCATATATGTCATATTCGATCTTCTTGATGTAGGAGAAAGCCTGAGACCCTCTGTTTTCATTTTTGGTGGTAAGCTTGAATGGCACCAGGCCCGTCTCATTACCAGCGTACTGTGCCAAAATGTAGTTGCAGGTGCCCTGAGCGTCATATTGTTTACCATCGCAAGTGTGGTAGTGTGGATCACCCAATGCCGAGCACAGACAATTGAAATCCGGCACACAAACTGCAACGCCCTCTTTGACTCGGCAGCTCTCTTTTACGCGGCAAGTTTTGGTCTTGCAGGGATCTAAAAGGCCAAAAATTATTGTAGGAGAAACTTAGGCGACAGGACATAACAGACACATAAGAACAGATTCCCGTCGGACACCTGATAGCATTATTAATATGTCTGAGATTTTAATATTGATCTACTGTGAAATTCTGCCAAAGTATCTGTATCTGTAAATTGTATCTGTTTATGCAACAGAAATGACCATAGTTTTTGAATGTCGGAACCCAAAAGAACTTTAAATTAGGGTCTTACTGTTTGTGCTGTTGCAGCTCCCCCTCCCCTCCCCTCATTTCCCTACATAACTTTGTATGTAGATGCTGGAGGAGGAGTGAAGGGGAATATTATATAATGTAAGGTATCTAGGTCTACTGCGCATGTGCGTGGTCCCGTTTTTCGTTCCATAGAAAACGGGCACTTGCACGCATGCGTGCGCATCGGGGTATACGCGCACAAGCGCGCTAATCTGGCATCTAGACGTGCTAATCTGGTGCACAGAAAGTGATGCAGTACCTCTGAATTGATCTTCCTATTTAAAGCAAGCACAGCCTGGGCTTAGTTGCAGGATGGGCTTTCAGCTGTTCCCTGTGATCCTGTTTGCTCTGCCTGTTTGCTGCTCCTGCACCTTGACCCGGATTGAACTTTACTGCTCCTGATTGCCGCCTGCCTAATTGGCCTTGGAATTGTTACTGGACTTTGCCTCTGCCTCATCCCTTGTACTTCGCTGCCCGACTGGTGTGACCCCCTGGCTTGCTTGACCTCGGTTCTGCCTTTTGCTCTGGTACCCTGCTGCCCGCCTGGTGTGACCTCGTCTCTGCTCTACCCGATCCTCATTCTGGACTTCTGCCCGGCACGGTGTTGCCCTATCCACTGGCACCCATGCTATTTGCTGTTTCTCAGGCTCTGTTCTCATCCTCAGAGTTTGGGGGACACAAGGTGCAAGGGAAGCCTCCTCATCTAACCAGTCTCCAGCAAGGCACGTGATATATAATGCCATGTGATAGTACTGAGCCTGCTGGGACTGCTGATATCAAATCCAATATGGTGGCACAATGCAGCAGTATCGGGGCTATTGGATGTTCACACATGGGAGACCTTTACAGGTAAAAAAACACAGATGGACTATATTAAATGCACATATTATCTCATTGGAAGAGTTTGGTGAAAGGAATGGTCTGGGGAACAGATCTCTTTAATGTTTCCTTGTTAACAAATACAGTAAAGTGGTTCATTGGTCGAATTTAGTGATTTCTATTTAAGTGGCAGTAAACCCCAAAAATTGGGCCTCCAGGTGCTATTAGACATAATGTGCTAGTATACACAGCATATCAGCACATTATGGCAGACTTACCTATCGACCCGATCCCTTCCAGTGCCACTGTCTTCCCTCTCTAGTGTGCCCATTTTGGCTTGGTTCTCTTCCAGGTTTCGAGCCTTTGGCTACTTGATTGGCCTGGCCAATATGCATGCTCACGGGAGTTACTTCATCTCAGCATGCCGACTCTGTGTGCTGAGTTGCGTTTTCACAGCTCAGTGTACAGAAAAGAAGAAATTGCCAAATGGTAAAAAGAAACTGTTATGGCAGAAGAGACTTCCACAGTGTCTTCTGCTATAAAAAGCCTACCAGTCGGTAATTTTGTTTTTCATTTTACCTCCACTTTAGGGAAGATCAACAGCTCCTTGTTCCGAAACACGTTTTTTTATTAGAAAACAAATTAAATGAATATTTGAAGGAAAATTTGACACCTGCTTCAGAGCTTCACATGTTATGGTAAAGGGCACCGTGACTATGAGACTTTCCCGCCATACTTCCCTACCATCTCTTGGGACTGGTGCTATCTCAAGTTGGTATTCCAGCCTTCCACAACAATACCGAACTCACCAGAGCCGACACAAGTCCGGACGCCATCCACAATCAGACACTTGTCGTTCCCTGAGCAGGTCTTATTACGGCAAGAGACTCCCGAGATGGGATTGCAAGTACACTCTTGGCTGCAGTCATCATTCAACACAACTTCATTAGCCTGAAGATACAAAATGAGGACATTTGACGTATGCAGGCTAACCCAAAATTCACAGTGGTGACCAATCAACATGCTAAGATATTTTAAAACGCATAGGATTTTAAAAAATAATAAAATAATTTTTTTAAAAATGTTAAAAAAATTGTTAGTTTTCTGTTTTGATTATTTTTTTCTGTTTTATAAGGTTTTTTTTTTAAGTTCCAAAAGTACAAAAAGTGGTCACAATTACTAGAATTCAAACAGCCAATCACAGGAGGAAAGAGCCATACGTCCTCGTACCCTCACCCATCCAGAAATATTTACCCTAAAGCTGGCCATACACTGTTTAGATTTTTGAAAGGTCTTCTGTCCGACTTTCTATTAGTTGATGGGGTCAAATCGACGATCGATTTCAACTAGGGATGCAACAATAGCAGTTTTTCCAGTATCGAGTACAAAACCGATATTTTTTTTCGGTACTCGCCAATACCGAATACCGACACCGAAAGTCTCATTAAGGAACCCAGGTAGCGTGTAATGACTCTCCACCTGGCTTCTTGCTTAGACAGGAAGCTGGGCGGCATGTAAAGATTCGCCACCTGGCTTCCCGATTAGCAGGATGAGATGATGAGAAAGCATGGAGTCGGCATTCTGGCCAATCAGGAAGCCGGGCACAGTGTAATGACTCGACTTCCTGTTTGGTCGAGAAGCTGGCCAATCAGGAAGTCAGGCAACCAGTCATTACACAGTGCCCGGGTTCCTGATTGGTCAGGAAGCCGGCTCCATGCTCCCTCATCACCTGGGGTCGGGTAATGACTCGCTGTCCGGCTTCTTGATTGGCCAGCTTCCCAACAAATAAGGAAACTAGGTGCCGAGTCATTACACGCTGCCTGGCTTTCTGAATAGCCAGGAAGCCGGCTCCATGCTCCCTCGTCACTTGGTGATGAGGAAGCATGGAGCCGGTTTCCCGGGCCAATCAGAAAGCCTGGCAGCATGTAATGACTCACTGCCCTGTTTCCTGATACCGGAAGCTCAGATATCGGGCTAGGGATCGGAGCATTTGAGCGAGTACGAGTACTAGTATACTATTATACAAGTATTAGTTTCAGTGCTTCCCTAATGTTAACCGTAGTGAAGAAAAAAATTAGAACAAACTAAATTCTAACAGTGAATATGTTTTTTGCTCAGGAAACTCCATTAATTTCCAAAATCAAACATTAAAATCAAACAAAATTTTTATCAAAATTTGTCAAGTGTCTGATGTCATTAGCCGGTAGTAAAGAAAGATCTTTTGTACAAACGTTCGTTCGGAAATGTACACGTGTCCGGCCAGCATGGGCCATATATTTTTGGCGTTGTTTAAACTCCCGAAGAACATTGATTGGTTCTCATGAAGATAAGATTGTAGGGTCAGGGGATAGGGATAAGCTCCTGTAGGATAAGGAGGATTTGTGGCTTTTGGCACCAGTGGGCATGCTTTTGGGTTGGTGTAATACCCACCTTCGCACCACGAAGGGGGTGCCTGCAGACACCCGCAGGTCAGACGTGCTCTCACCTGCATCCCTCGAGCTCAGCGGCTCCTGTCTCCTTCACCCCACGCCGCTCTGTGATGTCCGCCGCGTGGAGCCGCCGGGTAGTGCGCACGCGCACACTGTGTGTCTTCTTAAAGGTACAGTGCTCGACAATTAAGGAACAACCCCGCCTCCAGAGATGACCGCACCCTGATGTCAGCAGGTACAAATGCTAGCCTCACATATCATTCTGTGCTTGGGTATTGCAGAGCTTGCCTTCGTAGTGCCTAGTGTATTAGTTATAGTATATTTCTTGTGTACCGAACCTTGCTACTTCCTGACCACAAATCTTGCTGCCGGCCCCTGACCCCTGCTACTCTCACAGACTACGGCTTTAGATATAGATTTGGCTACGACGTTCCGGACTGCTCCTGTGCTGGTCACCACCACATGAGAGACCGTGCATTACCCAGGTCTGCTCGTTCGGAGGTACCATTTGTACTGGCAAGTCCCCTGCATCTGTGCTCCTACGCAGGGGCGTATCTGCCGCGAGGCGAACAAGGCGTTTGCCTGGAACGGCAGATTCCCTGAGAGCGGCACTTGCTGTGGTAAAAAAATTTTTTATTTATCAAGGGAAGAGAACCGGAGGCTATCGTAGCGGCGGGGACGAGGATGGCGGGTTTGGGGGGGGGGCTGATGGTGACGATCGGCCGTCAGTAAGGGGGGGGGCGGCGTTGCTGTTTTGCCTAGGGCAGCAGCATTTGTAAATACACCGCTGCTCCTACGGACTACTCCCTGATAGTTGGGGGGAGTATAAATGTGCGTAAAGAGGTCAGAAAAATGGATGGACAGCCTATTTTAATTATTCAATTATTCAAAAATTGTATAAAAAAAACAAGAAAAATGTGCCAGGAGCACATTGAAAAATGCCAAAAAACTGTATATTTAGCCATAAACTCTGTGGAATTACAACCAATAGTAAGTAGGATTTCTCCTTTAACATAGAATGAACAATATTTGTCAATGAAACCTATTGGTTTTGCTTGAGGAAACATTTGGTAAAGGCCTTTTGAGAGTTTTCCCTGTTGGGATATTGTACCTGGTAGTATACTCCGTTTTCATAGCATCCGCATTGGCTCAGCGGCAAGCAGTCCGACCCATCGAAGACGTAGCCCTCATCACACTCGCAGCCTTCATCACACAAGTCGGAGCACTCGTAGATATCTGACAGGGCGGCACAGGTGGTGGAGCACATGTCCGCGCAGGCACTGTAATGGCTGTGCGGGCCGCAGGTCATTGCTTTACAACAATAGAAATGGTGAGACGGTATATCAAACATTCAATTTAACGTTGACGTAGCCCACATTTGTTACAAAAAGCACATTCCACCATAGTGGACCTGTCATTAGATAGATTAACTCTTAGAGAGATCACAGACTACAATACTCCTCCTCTGAATGTCCTTATCTGCATTTCTCTCCAGAAGGATGGCCCCATCTTTGTGCAGGCATCATCCGGGGTCACCATTTACTTCCTGGACTGAGATACAGGCTCAGAGACAACACAATCATGTAAATCTTGGCTTGGCTTTGTTTACAAGCATCTGACACAGATCAGCCCCTGCTGCAGCCACCACCATGTGATTTGCTACCAAGTTACAGTGTTGCAGTCTGTGTGATCACTAGAGGAGGGGAGACCTAGGAAATGTTTCCTCCTGACTGCAGCTGACTGATCGCATCATCTCAACCTAGGCAAGGGTACTGTACTGGAACATCAAGGTTGGCTTTTTATTGATAAAAGGTGGAGCTTTTACGAAAAATTATAAGGTCACTACCAGGGCCGCATGTGTGACCGGGCCCTGGTGCTCTGCTACTACCCGGGTGACACCAAAATGACTGACAGTCATTTTGGTGTCACCCCCCTCTGAAAAGTCGGGCACTAATTTAAGGACAGAGAGCCGGACAGTTGCTCGAGAGAGAGAGAGAGAGAGGAGGGGACACAGGGGCATACCTTATCCCGCCGGATAACGTCCCCTTCTCTCTCTGCCGGCGTCCATTACCAAGATGGCCACCGGCAGGTAACAGCGGTGCCGCGTGTGACGTCATCACGCGCGTTCGCAATGATATCACTGCGGGGTGTCACCCAGTACCCGCATTGGGTGTCACCCCGGCTCAGGACACCTCTGGTCTGAGTAGGGATGCCACCTTTTCTTCAAGCGAAACCCGAACACTCTAGCGACGCGCGGACATTTTTTGGGAAGAATATGTTGTAGCTTATTCATATGTAAATAGTGCAGGCCATTCATATTTAAATTACACAGTTGAGACTATTTTCAGTGGAAGAGGGTGGGGGGGGCAGTAGCCCCTATGTTAATTTTGGTTGCCCCTGTCTGCCTGATATCTTGTGTCTGGTTTCCTGCTGCCATGAAACCCGGACACAGCATTCAAAACCCGGACTGTCCAGGTGAATCCTGGACAGGTGGCAACCCTAGGTCTGAGGTTTCTAGTTGTGCCTCTGGATACGGTTGCTGTATATTGTGATGCCATGAATTTACTCATGGGAACTTGTAAAGCTGATGACAGGTCCACTACAAAAAAAGGTGAAAGAACTATGAATTCTACTTACGGCAGAAAGCATCTTTCCTCCACACGACATCCTTGACCCCGGCATACCGGCATGCATCAGCATAGACGTAGACGCTGTTACATAGTACACTGCTATCTTCTCCATTGGTCTGGCATAGATCAGAGATACATTCATCGACATAGGAAGAGGGATTGACGATGGAATGGCATTTTGCGAATGGACCGGACGGGTCATTCATAACACCACAGTAAATATTTCTTGAAAATACTCTCTGCTTCTCTGCTGGGCACGATGAACACGGTTTGGCTTTGCTTCCGCATTCGCCACACTTGTCTCCGGTCTCTCCTGGAGCTTTCCACTTGTTTCCAAATTCAGCCAGGTCACCGGAGGCCGGTCCATCATCGTCCTGCTTCCCGTTGTAGTTGCCACAAAGACCGCACATGGCGTTCCTGTAGTTGCCTGGAACGGTGACGGCGGCGTAGCTCTTGTGGTCAAATCTGACTTGTAGGCCATGGCCAGTCTTGATGAGCGTGCCTTGGCCGTAACACTCTACTCTTACTTTGCCGTTCAATAAAGTTGCTGGAATCCTGGTGGACGTTGCATTAATCTGAAGTAAAACAACATAAAGGTAATAATAATAATTATATCTATATATA